ATCTGGTGGGGTTTGGAGCTCCTGCAGCGGCTCAGCAGGTCGTGCTCGGGAGCTCTGGCCGGGGTGTCCCCCTGCCCTGGCAGGGACCTGCCCTGGGGAGCTGGGTCAGCGTTACCTGAGCCCTGCTTTGCAGTCAGGCCTTGGGAATTCCTGCTTTGCTTGGCGTTTTCAGGGCTTCGTGGCCATTCTGCCTTTCAGCTGCTGGATTTGTTTGGGCTTGTCCGGGCCTGCCTGCGGCGAGGGGTGAGGAGGGAGATAAAGTTCTGGGTGCAGAGCACGCCCTGCGCTCAGCACCACGAGCCAGGGAGCCATGGGCTGCTTTGGGGTGGGAGGGACCTTAAAGATCATCCAGTTCCAACCCTCTGCTGTGCACAGGGACACCTTCCACCAGCCCAGGTCGCTCCAGCCTGGCCTGAGACACTTCCTGGGAGGCTGAGATCCCTGTAAATCCCCTTTTGTGCTGTGGCCTCCCCCCCCACCCCAGCTCAGGCAGGGGGATCCTGCTGGGAGCAAACCCCGTGGCAAAGAAAACATCCTGTTTGTGATCACTCCCTGCTCGTCATCCTGGACCTGTGGCTTGATTTTTAGCCTGATACCAAATCACTCTGTTTCCTCAGTGCTGTGCTCGATGGCTCCCCATCTTCGGGGGGGCCCCAGAGATAAGAGGTTGTAAGGGCTGTGAAAAGGCTTGAAAACGCTGCGGGGGCTTTTTGTTTTAATCCCTTCAAGGTTTCAGTGTCTTTCTTGTGGTTCTGGTGCAACGTGAGAAATTAAAACAAAGGACAGCAGCCAGATGGTGCATCTCCAGGATCAGACAGATTAGTTTCTTTTTTTAAAAAAGGGAAAAGTTTACAAATAGTTGTTCTGTTCTCTGGAATAGTCACTCTAACAATGGTCAGGTTAGAGGGGAGAGTCCAGCCTGGAGAGGAGAAGGTTGTTTGGGGACCTCACAGCACCTTCCAGGATCTGATGGGGCCCCCAGGGAAGCTGGAGGGGGATTCAGGAGCAGGAACTGGAGCAGCCTGGGCTAGTGGAAGGTGTCCCTGCCCATGGAAGAGGGTGAGACTGGATGGCCTTTAAAATCCCTCCCAACCCAAAGCGTTCCATGATCCCGGAGTTTTTAATTCTGGGGAGCTCGAGTGTCTTTATGGGAGCTCCTGCCAGGAGACAACTGTGCAGTTTACATCCCCCAGCAGGTGACAAACCCCAACCCCAGATTGCTTTCACTGAGCATCAAATAGGTGTGATTTCAAGTCTGGTTCCCCACGCTTGGCGAGCAGGAGTGTGGGAGTCCCTCCTGCAGGGGAAGGCTGAAAAAGCTCTTCCCAGTGTGATGAGTCGAAGGTGAGGCTCCGAATTTGCACTTTCCCCTCGCCCTGCTGGTTGGGAATCGCTCCCCTCTGCTCACCCAGCTTGGCTCTGTGGTTAGGGAATATTTTCCTGCGCTCCCAGTTTCCCTTTTCAGGTTTTTCCTTGCTTTGATATTCCGCCCAGATAGCTGCTCTGATCCAGGGCGCTGCATTTAAATAGTGGATGGTGCAGGTCTCTGATCCCAAGGGAAACTGCACCGAGTTCTGTTCATGTGGAGCTTTGAAATGGTCTTGGATTTGCTGGGTTTCAGGTTTTCCTCAGCCTCGTTCAGGTGAGACCCTCGTGGCTCTGGGAAGGGAAGCAAACAGACCTGGGAGTGAACAATTCCAACGGGATGAAATGACTTCTGTCTGCTTGGTTTTAGGGGACATCACCCAGAAGGGGTATGAGAAGAAGAGGGCAAAGCTGCTGGCTCCATATGTCCCACAAACCCAAGGTAGGTCCTCGTTCCATCTGGCATCAGGATTTTGTGGAGCTGTGGCACTAATGAAGGGATCTGGGGGGTGGCTGTGGAGCGCTGAGCCCCGTTGTCCAGCTCTGGATTATTCTGTCCCATATGTGTTTCCTGAGTTGATAATCCCACTGGAGGGGGGTGTGTGTGTGTGGCTGCCAGGAATTTTGCCTGTGGTTCCTGTGCTCCTGTTGAACTCCAGGGATCCCTGGCAGCTCCAGAGCTTCTGAACGTGGCCTGTGCCGTGTCCTTCAGCCACCTTAACTCCTCAGTTTCATCATTTGTTGCTTTATTTTGCTTTGGTCCCATCTGTTTCCTTTGGTCCAGGGATCCTGGGCAGCTCAGCTCGTTGGATATGGGATAATTACATGTAATTGTGAACTGATGGACGAGAGAAAAATTGGGTTTTCTACCCAAAAGATCAATGTGTTCTGTCAGAGCCACGTGCTGAAGGGAGCAAGGCAAGCAAAAAAAAAAAAATTGTAATTTAGCCTTCAAACTGGAGATTTTGTTACCACTGAGGGCTGCTCCCTGGGCCGGGGTGTGATGGGAATCTTGGAGGCTCGGTGGCTGCCTTTGTTCCAAATCTGTTTTTCTGTTTAAAGAACCCAGAAGGTGATATATTAATGGCTGATCCCTCTTTGGGAGCCAGGGAGGTTTTGGAGTCCTCAGGGCCAGTGTTTGTGCCCGTGGAGATCCCGAGCCTGGGGAGGAAAGGTGGGATCCGTTGGTGGCTCAGGATCCCTCTGGGCAGCCCTGCTTTTTATCCCAGGCCTGGGCCAGGCTGAAAATGCCACAACCCCGGGCCCCCTCACTCCTGGCGCTGCTCACACATGTTGGGTTTGTCTCAGAAAATCCTTAATTAGGAGAGAAAAGAAAAGTGTTTGGCAGGACTGCTAATGGAGAGCTCGGAAGAGCTGCAGATGGAGCTGAAATCCGGGATGGTGGAGCTCCCCAATTAACACAGAGGTTTAATTGCCCTTCCTGCTCAGCCCCCCCCCCCCCATCCCCAGCTCTTTGCCCATCTCACACCCAGCCTGGGAATGTCCTGTTGTTGTGGCAGCCCCGTGGAAGTCATGCGTGAGGGATCCCAAATCAGGTCACCTTGGGAATGGGAAGAAAATTAATTCAGTCCACAACAACATCAACAACAACAACAACCAACAAAAGGCACTCAGTGCTGGCCCTCAGCTCATCCCAGCTCTCCCAGCACTGTCCTGCTCTTGGCTCAGAGTGTCTCCATTTCGTGGATGGGAGGTGAGGGAGGGAAGGTGACGTCAGCAGGATCATTTGGGATGTTCCTCCTGCTGAATCTGTGCCCCATCCACGGCCTCTGGGAGCAGCACAGTTAAAAGTTAGCCCTGAGATGAATTTTTTTTTTTTTTTTTTCCCCCTGGTGGCATTTTGGGATAGAAGTGTGTTCCTTCTGTGCTTCCCTGGCCTGTATTCCCTGGCCCAGAATGTCCTTCCTGCCCCTCACCCTCCTCCAAAATCCAGCAGGAAGAACTCTGCTGGGAAGTTTTGCTGTTTTATTTGGTTTATTCTTTCCCCCCCCTTGCTTTTGAGCATCGTGTCCTCCCAGAGGGGGATAACTGGTGGTGGGGAGCAGTGCCAGTGATAAAATGACTCAGGCTGAAGCTCTAAATCACCCATTCCCAAGCTCTGCCTCCCAGCTCCCACAGCTGGAGGGTTATTTTCCTCCTTAGCCGGTCTGAGGGGTGTCACAGTTGCAGATAAAGCTCCTCACTGGACTCCAGGAAAGGATCCTGGAGTCAGATCCCGGTCATTAAATCAAGGCAGCACCTGAATTCCTCCTTTGTGCCTTTGTGAAGGCAGGTCCATCCAGCTGGAAAGTCTCTGTAACCTGGGGAATCCCAAAATCTGGAATTTGGAGCCCTGGTGGGGTGTCCCTGGGTTCTGGGAGCATGTTCAGGCTGCCCTGGAAACCCCGGATACTCCAATTTGGTTATTTCCATGTTTTTTACGGGCACGTAGCTTGAGAAAAAACCCTTTTTCCAGGGAATAGCCAGTCCCCACAGCAGCACTGCCGCTCCATTCCCAGTGCAAATGGCAGAGTAACAGGTTTGGCTGCTGCTTCCTTGGGCATGTGGCTCCTGCTGTCCTTGTCATTAATGCAAACATTTATCCTCGCTGATCCTCCGGTGATTCAGTCTCTGAATCTCCAAGCACAGGGATCACAGAGCAGTCAGTTCTCGTTAGAACCCGGGGACAATTAACAAACCCGCAGCATTCCTTCAAAAGCCGGCGATAAGTGATAAAAATAAATAATTCATTCCTCATCTCTCTGCCGTGTCCTTGTCACGTTCCTGCCGGCGGAAAGCGCGGCTGCAGCAGGATAATTCCGAAGGGAGCGTTGAATAAATCACCTGTCACCTGCCAGGCTCGGGCTCCCTTGCGCTGCTTTGTTGTGCAACCACCAGCGATTTACGCTTTTCCCTCCTCCCCTGAACGCTCCACGAGGGCCACTGTAACCGTGTTATTATGTCAGAGCAAAATACCGAAACAAGGAGCTCGTTCTGGTGTGTCGTGTCACTTCGCTGCCACCTTTGATCTCTCCCTTCCTGACTGGAATGTCGTGTTCTCCGTGGGATGCCCCGCAGAGAGATGAGAGGCTGTTGCAAGACTTACGAAAAGGAGCTGAACGATGTGGATTTAATAATTCGTGTTAAAGCGGTGTTAAATCTGCTGCTGACACCTAGTGGGTGCCTGGGTGGGTAAATAGCCGGGTGATCAGAAAGCACGAGGCTCTCCTGGCTCAGCCAGTGTTGTCCTTGGATCAGAACAAAGCCCTCTGGGGCTGGGTGATGGCAAATGAACGCTGCAGAGGTGCTAAGCTGGTTGTCATCAGTGGAACGTGCTGCAGAGTGACAGGAAGGGGCACAAACTCGGCTTGCTTTGGGAAGGTGGTGAAGCGACACCTTGAATTTATAACCTGGCTGTGGAGTCCAGGTCCTGCAGCTCAACCAGAGAATCCCTTCCCTTCCATTCAGCTTTCCGTGCTGCTGCCACGCTGCCCAGGGTGGGTTTGCTCTGATATGTGTCACTGCATCCAAAAAAAAGTCCCACTGGAAGTGGGGGGACGGTTGTTTGTGCCCCTGACAGGGTTTGGGGGTTTCTGGTGAGCAGATCTTTTTTAACGGAGGCTCTCGTTTTGCCCCGTGGTGGTTTAAAGAATCATCAGCCATCCACAGCTCAAGGGAGTTGTAACATTCGATTAAAATCGCGCTCTTTGGGATGTTGGAAGGGACAGGAGATGGATGAAGGAAGGTGAAGAATTAAGACAAAATGTCTTTTTGCCTGAGAGACATTGAGGGGCTGGAGCGTGTCCAGAGCTGGGGAAGGGGCTGGAGCAGCAGGAGAAGGGGCTGGAGAAGTTCTGAGGGAGAATTCCCAAGCGCTGCACGTTTAGGTGACACAGTTGCTCTTGTTTTTACATGACTCCAGGTGACAACCTGGAGGAAATTCCAGCTGGATGACCTTCTAGAAGTTCCCCCCTGACAAACAGATGCATTTTGGAGCTGAACCTCCGGCAGCAACTGCATTTTTCCAGTGGCAACTGGAAATTCCCGGTGGCTGTCGCTGGTTTGGGTAGAATGATAATTTCTTATCAGGTTATCTGTTTGGCTCCCTGTTCTCATGGGCAAACCAAACTTTTCCTGGGGGGCGAAGCCACACACTTGGCATGCTGAAGGGAGCCAGAACTGGACAACTGGAGGTCTCTTTGGGGTTGTAATTAGTGGGAACAGCAAAGGCCCTTGCTGCTGGTTTGTTATTGGTTTTGCAGTCAATAATGAGCTGGTCAGGGGGACGTGGAGTGACAAAGCACTCGTAATGGGAAAAGGCCAGGGGGGGTGGGTTTAGAAAAAGCTCCTTTTATTTCCTGCTGCCTGTTTTCCAGGGGCTGACCCGGCGTTACAGAAGGAACCCAGACCTCAGATGCCCGCTCCATCTGCAGCTCCAGCCTCAGCACCCTCCTCCTCCTCCTCCTCCTCCAAATTCCACCGCGCCCGCTCCGGGGGAGCCCGGGATGAACGATACCGGTCCGGTAAGGGCAGGGCAGGAGTCCCCTGGGCTCCTCCTCGTGGGATGGAACGTGCTCTGTCCTCTGGAGGGATCCAGGTTATTATTCCACCACCTGCCAGGGTGCACATCTGCTCCGGGAGCTTGGAGAGGGAGAGCTGCTCCAAAGAGGCTTCCCAGCACCTCCCGGGCTCCTGCTCCGCTTCAGGAACAGGCAAAAACTGGCGGCAGCTAATTTTTATTTCCGCCTGGGTTTTGTTTCTCACTTTGCAGCGGCGGGAATTACGCTTCCCTCTCAGTGTGGGCAAATAAAGCTGATCAAATCTCCCTTCTCCATCACATCCCAGCGTTCCGTGGAGCGTGGGGAGGGCCCAGTTTGGGCTCTGCAGAAAGCATAATTAAAAGACATCAGTCTGAGAAGTGAATGCAGATGAGCTCTCCCTGGCCGTGGCAGGTTTTTAATAAGCTTGATTCCTCCTCACCAGTGGTGTGTCTTCCTTTAAAGAGCTCTGGGGGCTGCAGGGGGGATGGAAGCCTCAAGTCCCAGCCTGCTTCAGTTCCTAATCAGCCTGTATTTACAACCACAGCTAAACTCCCAAGATTTACATGAAATCTGCATCCGTTTGGGAACAGAAGGTTTTTCCTAAACCAGACAACTGTCAGTTCACAGACCTGGGTGCACCTGGGGCTGCACACACTCTGTGCATGTTTAAACTGTGTGCAGGCATATTTTAGGATAATCTTTGGCCGAGGGGAAAGAGCTGGTGGGGCTGAGGTTCCTCTGGAAGTTGCCGGTGACAGGAGGATATAATAATAATGACTAATCCAGAACATTCCAGGCTCACCAAGCCCTGCATTCAGCTTGCCAAACTTCAGAGAGCCTTGCTGTCCGCAGATATCCACACGGAAGCGGTCCAGGCGGCGCTGGCCAAGCACAAGGAGCAGAAGATGGCCCTACCCATGCCCACCAAGCGACGCTCCACGTTCGTGCAGTCCCCAGCAGACGCCTGCACTCCCCCAGGTGAGCCTTGGCCACGCCAGGGGCTCACGCCAGGCGAGCCCAGGGGCTGCAGCAGGGCCCAGTGTTCCAGCTCTTCACTCACCAGCACGAGCCTCTTGGTCCTGGAGCTCCGCCAGGGCTGGGGAAGGGGCTCCTCATTCCAGGAGTTCCTAAAGAACCACCTGGTGGGGTTTTGGGGGCGTCCCCTGCGGGGCCTGGAGTTGGACTTGGATGATCCTTGTGGGTCCAGCCCTGGGTGTTCCGTGGATTCCCACTGGCCAGGCCTGCAGCGAGGCTGGCTCTGCTTCCCTCGCTCCTGTTCCTGCTGCATAATTCACGTCTTGGTTTCGTTAAGGTTCAGTGCTCGGCACACAGGAGGAGGATTTGCAGTGATGAACATTTCTGGGCAAGGACCTCGGAGGGGGCCTGGGGGGATTCCAGACTTGCAGGACTTTTCCCCACCCCTCCCGTGTAGTGGCTGCAGCAGAACTCCCTTTTTTTTCCCCACCCCTGGATAACGTGGTGTCTGGTGTGGTGCATGTGCAGCAGACATGGATAACCCTCTGTTTCCCAGCAGCTGGAATGCTCTGGCTTCCAAACGAGTCCGTGTGGGTTTTCTGTGTCGTGCCTCGTTGTGCAGAAGCATCGCAGCCATTTGGATTGACAAAGTCATCCGAATGTGATGAATCCCCATCTCCTGGTGGATTCATAGCCCTGAAGCTGCTCTGCTGGGCCATGTCACTCCTCCTCTTCCTCCTCCTCCTCTCTTCCTCCTGTTTTGTCCCACTTCCTTTTCTCCCTTCCTCTCCCCGGGGGGCTGCTGCACGTCCCTGGTGTCTGCTTGGGGTCTCAGCTCTGTGCTCACTCGTCCAGGACTGCAGCACATCCCGAGCTGGGGGTGTCACATGGATAAAGGTCAGCACTCCACTCTGGCCAGTGGGTAGAACGTGGCCTGATAGTTTCATTTACCACTTGAGTATAGGCAGAAAATCACTTCTGAGAGCACCTGAATTTTAGGCCAGAGCCACCTGAGTGTTTTTTTAGCACCATTATCCCAAGTGCTGAGTGCTGGCTTCGTGGTAAAAAAACTACTGAGCTCCCAGTCTGGGGACAGCCGAGGTGTCCGTGCTCTGGGACACACAGGAGCAGCTCCTTATTGCAGATTTCTCTGTTTTGTTTTGGGGCTGGGCTTTTTTTGTTTGTTTTCTGCCGTTGAAAGGGCCCCATTTAGAGCCCCAGACAAAAGCATTTTCCTCTGTGGCCTTGGCACTGCTCTCTCCCGAGCTCTGCTTTGTTCCGGGGAGTTTGCTCCGTGACAGCCACACTGACTCCCTCACTTCCCAGCTCAGAACGGGGCAAACCAGCATCTGCTGTCATGGAATATGAAGGGAAAAAGTAAGTGAGGGATCAGTCCTGGGCTTGGAGAAGCCAGGGGAAGGATGTTGCCCGAGGAGGTGACTCGAACAGAGGGGTGAGTGTGTTCCCACCGACCCGCCCGCTGCTCTAACGGTGTGGCCAGCGTGACAGCCGTGGAAAACAGACCCCCTGTGAAAGCCTGTTGATAATGTGACTGGAAAGAGCATGTTCAGTGCCATGTGCTTTCCCCTGAGCAGTCAGATTTTCTTTCTGCTTCCACACAGACACGTCTTCCGCCTCCGAGGACGAGGGCTCGCTCAGGCGCCAGGCTGCTCTCTCTGCTGCATTGCACCAGAGCTTACAGAATGCTGAGTCTTGGATCAACCGATCTGTTCAGGGGTCATCCACATCCTCATCAGCATCCTCTACACTTTCCCATGGAGAAGGCAAAGGGACCAGTGGGTCACTAGCTGATGTATTTGCCAATACTCGAATAGGTAGGAGCTGGGTTACCAACAGAGCGGTCGCTTCGAGTTCAGACTGTGTTGATAAAAGCTGGAGTTGTCCATTCCCACGGGGAAATCCGGAGCAAGGGTTTAGCTGGTGTTGATGGAACCTGCTAGGGTTGGTTGGAGTTGCACCATCATGCTGTTTTTTTTGGTTTTTTTTTTCCCCCCTGAAGGATTTTGGAAGGTTTGAGGCGGTTGGAGAAGGGGCAGTGGGAGCAGGAGCCTCTCTGGAAGCAGAGGAGGCTCCAGGGACAGTGTGGAGACAGAGCAGGAGGCACAACCTCTGTACTGTGTCGCTTCGTGTCTGCGGCTCCTGGGAGCTCCTGTGGGCACAAAGCTGCCCTGTGCAAGTGGCATTTCCATCCTGTGTCCTGACAAGCTCCTTGGGGGTGTCCGTGCCTGTGGAGTGGGGAAGTGCTGTGTTTGCCATCCTCATCTCGCTCCGAGCCCTGACGGGTTTGTTGTTTGCGTCAGATCAGAGAAAGAGAACGAGCCCGACCCCGCCCTGTGTGTGAGCAAACGAACCTGTCCTTAAAAAAATTGGGTTAATCAGAGTTAAAGCTTTAGCCCAGCTCTCCCCTGACTGGCTGAGGAACAACCAGAGCATCCAGGTCCTGAGGAGACGGAGCAGAATCTACAGATCTGGATACCCCAGGCTCAGTTTTCTGAGGCTCTGAGGTGCTCCTTTTGCTGCTGATGCTTCTGTATGAAATGGCCAAGTTTGTTTTTGCTCTGTGTATGTTTGTCCTTTTTTAGCTGCTGGGGGAGGAGATTCCTGCACTGCAGGACGTGTCTGTATTTCGTGTGCTCTCTGCTTCTGCTTAACTGGTTTGGGGGCGAGCAGTGCATAGAAGTGCTGGTGGTTTGAACTGTTTCACTTATTTATTTTGGGTTTGTTTGGTTTTTTTTTTTATTATTTTTTTTTTATTGCTCTTATTTTTGTTTGTTTATTTGCTGGGGTGCAAATCGTTTCCTGAAACGGAAAACTGAGGAAATTGCCCATAAAATGTAGTCAATCTAATTAATGCCTTCGAAGCAGAGAGGCTGTTTTTAATTGGAGAATGCAGAAAGCCATGTTACCTTTCATAATGAATTAAGGTAATACAGCTTTTCACCTACAGAATATCTACTGTCTAATTAGTGTTTTATGCGAAGCAGAGGCTTTAAATCTGTGTCAGAATTATATTTGCCACATTCAGCCCGGGTTAACAGCTGATTTAAGTGAATGGAACTCTCACAATTCCGTGCATCTCTCTGGAGAGAGAAATAAAAAAGTCCTTCAGATGTTTGGATTGTACCAATCCAGGTCCCTCTCAGTGATCTGAGAAGCTCAGTGCATGAGAACTGTTCCTTGCCACTGTGTCTCCAAAGGGATGCAGAAATGGGTTGTTTTTAATCCCTGGAAAAAATGGAAATCAATCACAAAACTCTTTCAGTGGGAGTTACGTAGGATCTGGCTTCAGACTCTCTGAGCTTCAAATTTGTTGGGTTTTTTTCCCCTTTGTAAGCACCAGTTGCTGGTGCTGTTAAGCCAGGATAGAATATTCTTGCCCTATCAGATGATTGAACCCGCTGGGTCGTGTAAAGAAATCCCACATCAGCAAAAACCCCCTTTTTTTAAAGAGAGAGTTCCTTGGAGAACTCGTGCAGGATGCAGTTCCAGCCTGCTCTCCAAGGCAGGACAGTGCCTTGCAACTTCAAGCAGCTCCCACTGTCCGTGGGGATTTATTCTGTCAGTGCTGGACAGGCTCTGTAACCACCCAGCTGGAAGGAATTGAAACCCCACTCGATTTTTGCTGATCTGCTTTGGTCAAACTCTCACGTGGTTTGTTTTTGAAAGCCCTGACTGACCAGGAAAAGCTAAATAGTAGAATTCCAGCAAGAGGAATCAGTGCATAGGTGAGGGAGGGCTTTGGAGATTGCAGAGCTCACGTGAATCTCAAACTTTTTTTTTTTTTTTAATGTTATATAAATATATATATTTTTATTTTATTTTTTTTTACAGTCCTGAATGTCACAAGATTGAGCTTCAAGGTTTAGAAACCAAGAGCAGGAATTCTCTTTTTGCTGAACCGCTTTCCTGACACGGACAAAACCTTGTGCTTTTGGTTCCCAGGGCAGATAAATGTGCTCAACCTTTAGGGATGAGAGTGTTTGGCATTAATGAACAACCCCCAGCCATCCTTACACCCCTAGTGTCGGTTAACAGGTTCTGCCTGATTTAAAAGGAGGATTTAACTGATTTCTTCCTCTTTTTAGAGAATTTCTCAGTTCCCCCAGATGTCACAGCAACTACCTCCACTCCCTCGGCGCGGCCGGCGGCGATCGACCTCCCTCCCTCTGGAATCGTCAAGGGGATGCACAAGGGATCCAACCGCTCCAGCCTCATGGACACTGCTGATGGTAGGGGAACCCCCCCCAGCAGCCAGGGGTTAGGTTGGATTCTTGGTTATTGTGATGGTCTGGGAGGGCTTTTCCCACTTTTCCCACCTCAGGGATTCTGGGATTCACCCATTCCCGTGACCTGCCACGTGCTGGGCTGCAGACAGGGATAACAGGCTCTCCTCTGCCACTTTTAAAGGGGAAAAAAAAGGAGACAAATGAATGGTGGGGGCCAATTGTTTTTAAAAGCTTTTGTCTCAGAAAAGGAAAAGAAAGAAAGAAAGAATGTAATTATTGGTTCCTAATTGAGCTCCCACGAAGCTGAAGATACCCCAAGCTGCCTGACTGAAAGCTTTCTGCAGGAGGTGACACTTAAATGTCCCACTGTGTCCCCCTCCGCTGGCACGTGGAAATCAGGATTTGGAAGGGAGGAAATGCCTTAAAAAATGAATTTCTGTTAATGGCGTTTTCTGGCCGATGAGTTAATAAAGAGCTGATGTAAAATTAATGTCCCTCCTGCACTGGCACAGCTTTAATAACAGAAACTGCACTGGAAGGAGCTGAGGTGTAAGTGTTTGTAAGAGACACATGAACACTTTTATTGGCCCAAATCTTCCCCCTCTCCCCCCTCCAGGTGTCCCTGTGAGCAGCAGAGTCTCCACGAAAATCCAGCAGCTGCTTAACACCTTGAAAAGGCCCAAAAGACCGCCCCTGAAAGAGTTCTTTGTGGATGATTTTGAAGAGATCGTGGAAGGTAATGGCACAACTAATGGTTTTGTTCGTCACTTGTTACAATTGCACGTGCAAAGAGCTGAATTCACCTGTGCCCTTGTTACCTGGTTGACCCTGATTCAGTATTTGCAGCAGAATAGTCTGACACAAACCCAGTGTTTGAAGTAATTTACTGTTCTGCTGAGCTATAGGGGGGGGGACCTCCTCAGCACTGAACTTCTTAACAGAACTATTTGAATAGGTTTTTTTAAACCCCTTTGTTTTGCTTAGGCCACGTGAATTAACTCCCCAGAAGGGATTGTCCTTGCTGGAGATTCCATTCCAAGCCTTTATTTTGTCAGGGTTCCTTTTCTCCAGTTCTGGGCGTCCCTTTCCTCCCTCAACGTGCTGAACGCCTCGGAAGCAGCACCCTTGGGAGAGAGAACTGTTCACCAGGCCTTGTTTTTTGGGGGGGGTGGGGTTGTTAAACGCTTTTTTTTCCTCCTCACCTTCACATTCGAGTGCCCTTCCAGCTCAGCTCTCAGGTGACAAGCGGGAAAGGAGTGGGGATATTGTTATATTTGGGTTGTGTTGGGGACATCCCGATATCTACTGGAAATAGCGTTGCCTTTTCTCAGTTCCCCAGCCCGACCCCAACCAGCCCAAGCCCGAGGGCAGGCAGATGACGCCGGTGAAGGGGGAGCCCCTGGGCGTGGTGTGCAACTGGCCCCCCGCCCTGGAAGCGGCTCTGCAGCGCTGGGGGACCACCCAGGCCAAGTGTCCCTGCCTGACAGCCCTGGACGTGACAGGGAAGCCCGTTTATACCCTCACATACGGTGAGTGGGGCCCCAGATCCCCCCCCTGCCCCTGCTCAGAGAGCAGCAGTGGGGAGAGCACAGGGCCTGTCCCAAAAACCCCCCTGGGTTTTGAGGGCGTTGTGGACACCCCGGTGTGGCTGCAGGAGCTGAGCTGTTCCCCTGGGCTGGGCTGGTGCCAAATCTGTGCTCTCTGTGTTGCAGGCAAACTGTGGAGCAGGAGTCTCAAGCTGGCCTACACCCTGCTCAATAAACTGGGGACCAAAAATGAGCCTGTGTTAAAACCTGGAGACAGGGTAAGGGCTTTGGGGGCCGCCTGGTTCTGCCTCTGGAGTGAAAGGAGGGGGTTTTTTTTTGGGGGGGGGGCTTTAATTTGGCACAGGAATCTTGTTCTTTCCCCAGCAGTTCTCTGAGCCCAGGGACAGGCTACTTGGCAAAGGGATTGGTGTAATTTTGCAGTGGCTCTGGCTCCTCAGGGAGCAGCTTTTTATTTCTGGACTTTGAAATCCATCTGAGGAAGAGCTGGGCAGCCCTGAGGGAGGCCCAGGGTCTGATCCCTGTGGTTTTTTTGGCTCTGTGAGCACCTGCACGTGCAGGGACACGTGGGAATGGTGGTGTCACCCCATGAGGGGCTCAGGCCCATCCCATACGTTCTGTGGGAGCTGAAAACGTCAAAAAACATGAAAGTTGCCCGAGTTTCAGTCACTGCAGGTCTGAACCGTGCGATTTTGACTCCTGTTTCGAGTAACAACACACCTGTGTGGGTTGCAGGTGGCCCTTGTCTATCCCAACAACGACCCTGTGATGTTCATGGTGGCATTTTATGGCTGTCTCCTGGCAGAAGTGATCCCAGTGCCTATAGAGGTACCTCTTACCAGAAAGGTAACGTTGCTGGAACTTGGAGGAGCCCTGGGCTGATGTGGGATGGAAACCAAGTCAGACCATCAGCCTCTTGACGGCGTTTCACAGCCTCCAGCTGTGCTGCCTGAGCAGCTCTGTACCCACCAAGGACCTCTGGGAGCCTGGAGTGGCGTTTCAGGATGGAAAAACGTATTGAACCAGAGCTGTGCTGAGCAGCTGGGGCTGCTCCATCCCCCTGAAAGCTGCAGTCCCCATTCCCTCACTGCAGGTCATCTCTGGGCAGTGAGGACCTTACCCCCTGGTTGATGGGAGGGGGCTCAGTCCAGCCTTGCTGGGCTCTGCCAGGCTCTGACTCTGCTGCAGGTGGAGGTGCTCGTTGTTTCTGAAGGTTCTGAGGGCACTTCTTGCCAATTGTTTGCTCAGCAAAAGCGTTTCCTTTGCCCCTTGCCAGAATTTCTCCACTGTTGCCATATTGTTATGTCCAGACCCGTAGGAAACCATGGGGTTTCCCCAGGGAAACAAAAGCAAACAGGCTCCTGGCAAAGCTGTGGCAGGAGCTGGTCTGGGAACACTGGGGGATCACGGGGCTTTGGTTCCATTTCTCTGCACAAACTGCTGTAGCAACCACGTGGAAAATTCAGACCTGGGCAGGATTTGCCCAATCAGTGTCTGGGTGAGCCTCCTCGTTCGGGTGTTTTTATCAGGAATTGGTTCCTGGGGACAGAGAGCTCTCGTTATTTCAGTGTAATTACACGTTTTGGTTTGTTTTTTTTTTTTTTTTGCCTCTTGATTCCTCTTTGAAGCATCTGGGTTTCCATTAATGGCACTGGATGGGGTGTGACCCGTGCCTGGATGCTGGGCAGGAGCACTTGTTCTCTCTGCATTTCACATCCAGTGCATTTTAATCCTGCCAGGGATGTTTCACAGAGTCCCAGGATGGTTTGGGTCGGAAGGGACCTTAAAGCCCACCCAGTTCCACCCCCTTCCATGGGTAGGGACACCTCCCACCAAGCCAGCTTGCTCTGATTGTGATTCTGGCTGTCTGTGGGAGTGGGTTGTTTCTTCCTCTTCTTCCTCCTCCCCAGTTCCCAGAGCGTTACCAAACCCTGGATTTTGGTGAGGGGGAATCTCACTTCATGTCACCTCAGAACAGGAGTGACTTTTCCCCCCCTTCTCCCCTCAGGATGCTGGTGGGCAGCAGATTGGCTTCCTGCTGGGGAGCTGTGGCATTGCTCTGGCCCTCACCACCGAAGTGTGTCTGAAAGGGCTTCCAAAAACCCAGAACGGAGAAATTGTGCAGTTTAAAGGTGAGCCAGTTCTGTACCTGGTTTTCATGCTGCTTGTGCTGGAGCTGAACTGTCTGAAAGGAGCTTCCAGGACGCCTGGAGGAGTTTTTTGGGGGGGCAAAGGGGTGGCGACTCCTGATCCTGTCCCCAAACTGCTGTGGGGTTTGAGCGTGCGGTGAGATCAGTCCACGTGTCTGGTGGAGCTTTGGGGTTCTGGAAGCCACGAGGAACCACCTCAGGTTGTTTCCTCAGGCCCCTTCAGTGGCATTTGGCAGATTCCAAGGCAGTTTATTCACAGTACAACAGGTTAATTTTAGGAATGCTGCAGGGATCTTTCCTGATGGAGAGGAAGTGCCTTGTTGCCCACTAAACTCCCTGATGATGAACCTTCTGGTTGGTCTCTGGGCTTGGCTTGGGACTCTGCTTGTGTAACCGAACTTGGGCAGAGGGTGGGCCTTGGTGCCTCCCCGCAGAATGTAAATCCCTCAGCAAATAAACTGATATTAACGTGCCGGTTTAATTTTGGCTCCAGGTTGGCCCAGGCTCAAATGGGTTGTGACAGATTCAAAATATCTCTCCAAATCTCCCAAGGACTGGCAGCCCAACATCTCAGCAGCAGGAACTGAGCCAGCATATATTGAGGTAAGCAGTGAATGGGGAATGGGAAGCGGCTTCCATGAGCTGAATTTAATGTTCTAATCACCGCAGAGAGAATATTTTCACCTCACTCCCTAAAAATCCCCACTTTCTTGCCGCTGAAACGACCCTCAGGGCTGACCCTGCCGGCAGGGTGGGTTTGGGGTTTGTCCCAGCAGCTTCAGAGGAAGGAAACTTGATTCAGTTTTGGGGTTTGGGATTGAATCTCCTCCCCCCCCTGGAGGGATCCAGGTCCCTCCCTGACTGTCCCCTCTCTCCTGCAGTACAAGACCAGCAAGGAGGGCAGTGTCATGGGGGTCACGGTGTCTCGGGTGGCCATGCTGGCCCACTGCCAAGCCTTGTCTCAGGCCTGCAACTACTCTGAAGGTGGGTGAGGGCACAGAACATCACAGGGACGGAGGGGCAGCAGCGTCATTTTGGGTGGTTGCCTCTCACGTGTTTCACAGCAGCCTCTGAGTAAACCAAGAGCTGCTTAAAAGAAAGAAATGAAAAAAGCACAGGTTGATTCTCCCCCCAGAAGTGAAGGCCGAGTGTGATCTCCTTCTGGCCAAAATTGCATCATTTTCACAACCGTAGTGAAGAGGAATGAGAAGTGGGATTTGCATCCTGTCTGGGAAGTTACTGAGTTTGTTCTGCTGAACCAAAAGGGGAACAAATGAATCGAAACCATTTCCCAACGAGCTCGAGTCCCCTCTGGCCCCCCCTGGAAATGTCTCCCCAAACTTCTGTTCCTGAGAGTGTGTGAATACCAAAGCCTCTTGCTGGGGCTGTTCTGGTCCCACCAGGCATTTCTGGGTAACCCAGAGGTGGAGATGGGAAAACTCCGGTGAGATTCCGGAGAGTTCTGCCCTAGGATATGGTTTTAGTCTGGTCTACCTTGTAATTCCAGCTAATTCCTTGATCCACGAGCAAAACTGTTGGTAGAGCTGTAGGTCAGAGTGCTTTAAAATGCAAAGTCTGTCTTTTGGGAACCCATCACTTCGTGTTTCCATCGCCTCTGGGAGTCAGGGCTTGAGTGATGTTCCCTGCTCCCCTTCCCTGCTCGTGCATGACGAGGCTCAGAGCCCTCCTGTCCCACTGATGGACGTTCCAGGCTGGGCTGTGATTTCCTGGCAGCTCTCTGGGGCTGTGTTCCTGGCTCAGCAGTGGATGTGCAGTTGTTACTTTGCATAACAAGGAGCCGGGAGCAGCAGCACGTGTGGGGAGGGCTCTGGCAGAGGCAGCGACAGGCTCTTCCACGTGCACGTTCCAGCAGCAGTTTTGGGCACAGCTGCCCCTGGCACGTGGCCCTTCACAGCTCCAGCTTTTTTTTTGCCAGGTGAAACGATAGTGAACGTGCTGGACTTCAAGAAGGATGCAGGGTTGTGGCACGGCATTCTCACGGTGAGTCGGAGCATCCCAGAGCCCTCTGTCGTTAAGGAGAGGTTAATGGTTAATGATTGCATTAGAAATTAGGAAAAAATTAGGGTTTGGGGGGCACTGGAGTGGTTTTCCCAGAGAAGCTGTGGCTGCTCCATGTCTGGAAGTGTCCAGGGCCGGGTTTGGAGCAACCTGGGAGGGTGGAATGAGATGAGCTTTAAGGTCTCTTCCAGACCAAACCAGTCTGGGATTCCAAGAGTCAATGAAATGTGATAAAGGCAGCATTTGAGGCCGTGGCTGGAGGACCATTCCCTGTTAAACCAACCATTTCCCTCCCTGCCAGGCCTGCAAGGGAATCACAGACCCATCCTCACTAAACCTCTGTGAATTCATGGTGGGGGTTGATGGGGACTGAGAGTGACTCTTATTTCTGCTCGATGAAAGCTTTGTGAGCCCCTTCCTGACCGTCTTTTCCCCTGCTTTTCAGAATGTAATGAACAAGCTGCACACCATCAGCGTGCCCTACTCTGTGATGAAAACCTGCCCTCTCTCCTGGGTGCAGAGGGTTCATGCCCACAAAGGTAACTCGGGATGTCCCACAACTCCACCCTGGGAGCTCTCAGGATCAGGGGGGGAGTGGAGGGGCATGAAAATCTCAGGTGCATCAGACCCCACCTTCTTGCCCTCCCATGGCACGTTCTCAAGGGCCAAAAGGGTTTCTCTCTTGTCCGAAAATTTTTATTTGGCAGTTGTAGATACAACCTTCTGCTCCTCAGGCAGGGCTGGAGCTCGTGTCTCCAAGACTCAGGGGCAGATTTTAAGCCCCCAGTGTCGTGTAGAGACTTGTAAACCTTCTTACATCGGTGATTTGCCACCAGTGTCCCAAGGCTGGTTCCACCAATCTGCCACCTGCTCCAGGGTTGGAACAGGAAGGTGACAGCAGGTCAGGAGGGCAGGGGACTGTGCCACTTATTTCTAAAATACGCACAAATTTCTGATTTATTTCTAAATAAGTCCCAAAATGCTGCGTGAGCATCGGGGAACTTGGTGGGGACCTCCTGGCTGGGAGCCAGTTCCTGCGATGAAACCAAGGGAGTGTTGATCCCAGGCCCCAGCGAGGACCTGCAGAGGGTGGTGATGATTTCTGGGCTTTGGAGGAGGAGCTGTGAGGGTGACAGACCCTGGCTCAGGTGGTGGGCAGTGGCCTGCAGGCCACAGCAGATGCTGCTGCGTGGTTGGCTTTGCCGTTCGGCAGGCTCAGTTAATTAAGGCCTCCTTGCTTTAGTGAGAACTTCCTCATTTGGGAACATTATGAAAGGCTTTTCTTTGTCCTTTACCCCGTGTCCCTGTGTTGGTTTGCAGCAAAAGTGGCTTTGGTGAAGTGTCGAGACTTGCACTGGGCCATGATGGCCCATCGAGACCAAAGAGACGTGAGTCTGAGCTCCCTGAGGATGCTGATCGTCACTGATGGTGCAAACCCCTGTGAGTGTGGGCAGCCTGGGGCTACCAGGGCAGGGGGTGCTCGGCTGGTGTCCCGTGGGATCCCCCTCCCCTCCCTCTGAGGGGGTCTCAGAGCGCTTGGAACCCCCCCCAGAACGAGGGGGTTCCATCCTTCCCTCCTCTGGGTTCTGGGAGATCCTGCAAAGTGGGGAGACAGTTCATAAAATCAGAGAGTTGTTTGGATTGGAAAAGACCTTTAAGGTCACCAAGCCCAGCTGCTTCCCCAGCACTGCCACGTCCCCAAGTGCCACATCCACACGTCTTTTAATTCCCTCCAGGGTTGGTGACTCCACTGCTCCCCTGGGCAGCCCTTTCCAACCTCTCAGGGAGGAGATTTTCCTTAATATCCAACTTAAATCTCCCCAGCACACCTTGAAGCCGCCTCCTCCTGTAGTTTCCCGAATCCTCCTCCTGACCCACCCTGTAGATGGGCGTCAAACCGAAATCTGTGAGGTCCTAGTGGCACGTTTTCTTGCTTCCCAGGGTCTGTCTCCTCCTGTGATGCCTTCCTGAGCTTGTTCCAGAGCCACGGGCTCAAACCAGAGGCGATTTGTCCCTGTGCCACCTCCCCTGAAGCGATGACCATCGCCATCCGGAGGTACCGTGGCCGTTTTGTTTGCTGGGCTGACTCACCCGGGCTGGGCTTTGTCCACACGTGGCTTGGTCGGGGTTGGTTTGAGCGTGTAATGAACTCCACTGACATTTGCTGGGCGTGCTCAGGAGTGGCTGAGCTGTTCAGCATCCCAGGTTTGGGGTCCCAGGGTCACAAGGATAAATGTTCTGAGATTTGAGATCACTCTGGACGGTTTTCGTGCTCCTCTGCCATCATTGCTGCCTTCTGTGACGAACAGCCCTGCAATTACCTGGCCTGGGAGCTGGGGATTAGCACGGGGTGAGATAATGAGCTGGGAGATAACGAGCTGCACTGCCCAGGAACACAATTCCTTAGGGATTGATCAGCCTGGCTCCTCTGGGAGGCAGTTCCTCCCGCCCATCTCAGTTTTGAGTCACTGTGCAAAGCGGGGACACTGAAATGCTCCTCTTTCTGCTGCTGTGGTGTCTCCATCCGAGGGCCTGATTGGGTTTATTCGTTGATTTTGTGTCCTTCAAAGGCCTGGAGTCCCCGGGGCCCCTTTGCCAGGCAGAGCCATCCTGTCCATGAACGGGCTGAGCTTCGGGGTGATTCGGGTCAACACTGAAGATAAAAACTCTGCCCTCACCGTCCAGGACGTTGGCCACGTGATGCCAGGAGGTAAAAACAGGCAGGCAGGAGGCTCCTCCTTTGTGGGGCTGTTTCAGGAGAAGAGCAGGTCCATGTGTGGGGGAGGTGGGGCAGGGCCAGGCTCTGTCACTTCTGTCCCCATTCAGTGGTGTCAGTCGTTTCTAACAAAGCCTGATCTGTCCTAGGCATGATGTGCATCGTGAAACCCGATGGGCCACCCCAGCTCTGTAAAACAGACGAGATTGGTGAGATCTGTGTGAGCTCCCGAGCAGGAGGGATGATGTATTATGGGCTGGCAGGGGTGACAAAGAACACTTTCGAGGTACGTACAGCAGGGTGCATCGGCCTTGCCCCGTTTGCTCTGTAGAAATGGTAGCCCCTGTGTAATCTCTTGGGTTTGTAACTGAAGTGTTAGTGTTGCTTTTTGAAAAATATCCCCCTGGGAAGCTCCTTACAAGTCAGGGGTATTCAGCATTCCCCTGGCACAGACGTCTCCCACACTGCTGAAACAGCGACTGCGCTGAGGGCACCTCCCCTTCGCTCACATCGAGGGGTGTGGGGAAGGCTTTTCTATCCCCAGGCAAATCCACCGGCCTCCAACGTGCTGCCCTGTGTTGCAGGTGATCCCTGTGAACTCCTCAGGCTCTCCGGTGGGGGAAGTGCCCTTCGTCCGCTCCGGCTTGCTGGGATTCGTGGGCCCTGTGAGTGAGGCAGCTTTGAGCCTGTCCCTCTGCTCGGTCCCCCCTCCGTGGCTCAGGGAGGAGCCCCTGGGGCCTGGAGGGCGTGTGAGGAGAGCTCACAGGTGGCTCCTTGTGCTTGCAGGGCAGTTTGGTGTTCGTGGTCGGGAAGATGGACGGGCTGCTGATGGTGAGCGGGCGCCGGCACAACGCCGACGACATCGTGGCCACGGGCCTGGCCGTGGAGTCCATCAAAACAGTTTACAGAGGAAGGTCAGCACCAGGAACCCACAGGCTGCTGCTGCTGAGTGTTTTCTTGGGATTTCTCTTGGGGCAGCTCAGTTAAAGTCAGTGTGTTTTTGATTTAGGTGGTAATTGGACTGATCCTGCCTGATCAACACTGGTCTTTTTCCCCACTGTGGAGAATTGAATTCTCTGTCTCTGCAGAGTTTCAGTCCTTAGCTGCTGGCTGGTGCTCTGCAGCGAGGAAGGGTTTCATTCATGTCCAGAGACAACTTGGTTTTCATTTAGCAGTTGTGGAGATAATTTTCCAGATCCTCAGGCAGGGCTGGAGCTCGTGTCTCTGGGACTCAGAGGGAGGTTTTAAACCATCACATAGGTGCCTTTAAAGCTTCTTGCCATGGTGATTTGCCACAGGTTGGAACGGGAATGTGACAGCAGGTTGGGAGGACAGGGGACTGCGCCATGTGGAAGTTCCATCAGGAGGTGGAATTAACCCCCTAAACACTTCTCAGTCTTTCCTTCTCCACGTGAATCGCCTGACGTTTGTTCCTCTGCCTTTGCCCCCGTGTTTATTTTCACGAGCTCTGCCTTGGCTGCCTGCTCCCAGGGGGGCAAAGCTGGGATTTGTGCCACTGGGGCTCTCCCCTCTCCCTTAGGATCGCCGTGTTCTCCGTGTCCGTGTTCTACGACGAGAGGATCGTGGTGGTGGCGGAGCAGAGGCCGGACGCGTCCGAGGAGGACAGCTTCCAGTGGATGAGCAGGGTGCTGCAGGTCAGGGCAGGGCAGAGGCCACTGGAATGGCCCAGGTGGAGGGAGCACAGGGATGGAGGGAGCACTGGGATGGAGGGAGCACCGGGATGGAGGGAGCACCGGGATGGAGGGAGCACCGGGATGGAGGGAGCACCGGCTCTGGATCCCTCTTGGCACGTGGGGGGGGTTTGTTCAGGGTCACAAGCTGGTAAATCTGCCGTGTCCAAACTGTTCTCTTGTGTCCTGAAGGAACTGGGAGTGCCAGGATGTGGGGGAATGGCTTCCCACTGCCAGAGGGCAGGGTTAGGTGGGATATTGGGAAGGAATTCCCTCCCTATGAGGGTGGGGAGGCCCTGGCACAGGTTTGCCCAGAGAAGCTGTGGCTGCCCCATCCCTGGGAGTTGCTCCAAGGGCTGGCTGGAGCAGCCTGGGCTGGTGGAAGGTGGAATGGAATGAACTTCAAGGTCCTTTCCAGCCTGGAGAGTTCCCTCAGCACTGCAGAGCAGATCTGTGCTCAGGCTTTGGAGTTCTGCTTTTGGTCTGGATCACGTGGAGCTCAGAGTGTGGCTTTAAAGCCACCCTTGTCTTTGGAGGTGCATTTCCAGCAGGGAGACAGCGAGCAGAGGAAGGTTAAACCAGCTGAATGAGTGTGGTCCTTAAAGCAGAACGAGTAGCAAATGCTTCCTGTGAGAGCTGCCTGCTCTGCATGTGTGTCACTCCTGGGAATGACATTCAGGGTGTGAAGTGTGCAAGCTGGAGGGGGGGAAAATAAGGGAAGTACCTGGTGCTGTGAATAATGGATCAGATGCCTGGATGCTGAGGTGGGCAGAGAGAAACAGAGTGTGATGGTTCAGAGGAGACAGATGGATGCAATCCCGAGATCAGAATCCTGTGATTCATCAGGCAACTTGTGGGTATTTTTGGGATTTTGGTCATGAAAGATTTAAAAATGGATTTGGTGCCTGTGGAATGGGCTGTAGAGGCAGGGACGTGCCAGCACTTCGGGCTCCCACTGCGGGGCTCGCTGGTGGTGCAGAGGTGAAACGGGATCTCAGTGACTGACCCGCTGCTCCAGCACCTTGGAAATCCAGGGAGATTTGCCTTGCAGTGGCAGTGCAGCCAGCAAACAGCAGGCTGTCTCCAGGAGCTGCAGTGACCATCTCTCCTCTCTGCAGGCCATTGACAGCATTCACCAAGTGGGTGTGTACTGCCTCGCTCTCGTGCCAGCCAACACGTTGCCAAAAACTCCGCTGGGGGGGATCCACATCTCACAAACCAAACAGCACTTTCTGGAGGGCTCCCTGCACCCCTGCAACATCCTCATGTGCCCACACACCTGTGTGACAAACTTGCCAAAGCCCAGGCAGAAACAGCCAGGTAACCTGAGCCCCGTTTTTGGGCCCTTTTGGGGTCGGGGAGCTGAGGCTCAGCCCCGGGAACAGGGCGCTGTGTCCCATTCCGTGTCCCATTCCCCGTGGGACCAGAGCCCCGTCTCATGCCCCGTGGGTAGGGAGTGTTTGGGGCCTCTTCTTTGCATGTGTTAGTCAGGAATCTTGATTCCTGCCTTTGAACTCGTTGGGATTCTCCCTGCTGATGAGCAGAGACCAGCAGTGCCTGCTGAACCCCGTCAGTGGGGTTTCGTTCCCATCCGTGCCCGGGAGCTGTGGGATCCTGCACAGGCTCTTTGTGCCTCGGCTCTGCTTTCCCAGAGCGCCCATTGCAGCTGGTTGTTCTCTCTCCACAGGCGTGGGCCCTGCCTCTGTGATGGTGGGGAACCTGGTTGCTGGGAAGCGCATCGCTCAGGCCCAGGGCAGAGATCTGGGCCAACTGGAAGACAACGATTTGGTCAAAAAGGTAAATCAGCGCTTGGGGGGGAGGGATTTCCCCTCCAGCTGGGTGCTTCTCTTGAGGGAGAAGCTGGTGTTGAATTCCTGCCTCCCTCTTCCAGCACCAGTTCCTGACAGAGGTGTTGCAGTGGAGAGCTCAAGCCACTCCTGACCACCCGCTCTTCCTTCTCCTGAATGCCAAGGTACGGTCAGCGCTGAGCTCCTGGATTTTTAAGGCCCACGTGTTACTCAGTGCCGGTTTGAGACTGCCTTGAGAATCTTCTGCCCTCTGCAGTGCCTCTCTTTAGTCTCTGTGTCAGCCTCTGCCCATAGATCTGTAACTTAAAACTTGACCCTTTGACCCTGTAGGTCCCTTCAGCGAACGACTCTCACGGCTCGAGGCTTCATTTTAAAACCGAGCGTGTTTGTAGGTCCCACTGGTTCCTGTATCAGTTAATGGTGTATCCCTGTTGAGTATATTCTGGCAAGGTTCTGGTGCAAGAAGACCTGAACTTGACTCCCTGGAAGGTAGAATTTTCTAGAGCAGATCTAACTCCATCTCTGTCCTTTGATAGCCTAGTGGATTAAGTGGCTCACTGAGCGCCAGCAGCCTTTAGGTAGAGATAACTCGTAGCTGTAGCCTCCTGCTAGCCCAGCAAGCTTGGTTTGATCTCACAGCAGCCACTTGGTGTTGTGCCAGCCCCTGTTTCGAGCATTTTTTGTGTCCTTTCAAGGGAACCACTGTGTGCACGGCCACCTGCCTTCAGCTGCACAAGAAGGCCGAGAGAATCGCGTCAGTGCTGTGTGACAAAGGGCATCTCAATGCAGGAGACAACGTGGTGCTTCTTTATCCTCCTGGTAAGTGGGTTTTGGGAAAGGCTGGGTCCCACTGGGGAAGTGCAGCCTGGGCTTTCCCTGGTTTCTCAGGGATGTGGAAACACAGGACAGACGCTCACTGCTGGTGCGGGTTGGTCACCAGTGTGCACTTACAGCCCTGCCCACACACCATGCTCCACGTCCTGACTGACTGTTGAGCCAGCTGACACTCAGGATGTTCTTTTCCTGTGCAACGGAGATGATTCCCTGTGCTTTACCTTCCCAACCCCCTTATCCCAGCTTCCCCAGCCTGCTGTGCCGCCCTCCGTGCTGGTGCCGCGGGAGCGTCCCCCTTCCCCAGCAGGATGGAACTCCTGGGGGAGCAGCAGCGCCCTGGTGTCCCTTAGGGTGTCCCTCCCCGGTGTCCCCTGCTCCAGCTGCCGTGTCCTTGCAGGCATTGAGCTCATCACAGCCTTCTATGGCTGCCTGTACGCCGGCTGTGTGCCCGTCACCGTGCGCCCGCCCCACGCCCAGAGCCTCACCGCGACCCTGCCCACCGTGAGGATGATCGTGGAGGTGAGGAACGGGGTGGGGGCTCACCCTGCCTGGGTGCCAGGCACCCACCCAGAGCTGCTCAGTGACTGCCCTGCACAGCTGGACGGGGCAGAGGGAGCTGGAGGTGGCCGTGCCACGTTCTCGCCCGCTCGGAAGGTTCCGGCAGGTTCTGGGCAGGTTGGGCTGCAGTGGGGGTGTTCAGTGAAGGAAAAACAGAGCAAAAGGCAGAGAAAGGAGTTCGGGTTTGCTGAGGGAAAGTGGCTGAGGATGGTAAGACGGTCTCTGAACAGCAGGCCTTGCAGTGGCAGTGCTGCTGGGCCGGGCTTTGGTCAGTGGGTGTTTGTGTCTCCAGGTCAGCAAAGCCGCCTGTATCCTCACAACCCAGACCCTGATGAGGCTGCTCAAGTCCAGGGAGGCAGCTGGAGCTGTGGATGTGAAAACCTGGCCAACCATCATCGACACAGGTGGGGCAGAAAGGCTTCTGGAACTTGTGTGAACCAGTGACTTCCAAGGGGAACTGTCCCCCCCTTTGGCTCCGGAGAATTCGTTTGAATGTTTACAAAACCTGCCCAAGACAGAATCTAACTGTGACCTTGTTCACTGGGAGCGTTTGTTGAGCTGTGCATGGGAAATGGCTGTGCAGACAAACCTTCCTGCAGCCAGCTTTAATCTCCTTAATTCAAGGGCAAGTTGGTCTTTTCTCCCTTTTCCTGAGACTAAATAAATTCCCGACGTGGGAGCTTTGGCAAGACTCCTGCCATACACCAGTCTGTCTCTTTTGGAAAGAGAATTAATAGGAAGCTTTTTCCTCCCTCTCTGGCTTTTTTTGAAAGTTGTATTCTCCTTTCAAACAGCGGTCCAGGGACCAAAACTAACCTGTGTGTGCCTCTCTTGCACAGATGACTTGCCCAGGAAGCGACTGGCCCAGATCTATAAGCCACCCACGCCTGAAATGTTGGCATATCTAGATTTTAGTGTCTCCACGACGGGCATGCTCACAGGAGTGAAGGTACAGCCGCAGGGGGGTGGGAGATGGGGAGGGTCATGGCTTGTTGGTGTCTCTGCCGCCCCTGCCTCGCTGAGCGCGTGCCCTGGGCCACAGCCATGGGTGTGACACCTCTGCCCTGAGCTGCCCGTGCTGGGGGGGCCCTGGGCTGATGTCCCCCCTGTGTTGCAGATGTCCCACGCCGCCGTCAGCGGCCTGTGCAGGGCCATCAAGCTGCAGTGTGAGCTCTACTCCTCCCGGCAGATTGCCATCTGCCTGGACCCCTACTGCGGGCTGGGGTTCGTGCTCTGGTGCCTTTGCAGGTAGGATTCCTCTTTTTTGGAGAGGGAGGAAAGGGGCAGGTTAACTCTTGGCCGGTTCTAAGCGGGAAATGGGTCCCTCTGGGTGTAATTACAGGCGTGTTGACATGACCAAAGTGGCTGATTTACAGTGAGGGGGGGATTTGTCTTTGAACCCGCGACAACACGTTCCCTTTTCCTGCAGATTATCCCCTCCTGATTATGTTTGTTGGTGCTGCCAATCCCTCCTGGCTCCAGAGTGTTTCTTTTCCCCTTTCTTCCTTGATTACAAGTTGCAATAAGGGAGTTTTTGTTCTGGGAGGGGGGGGCCGAGCCAGTTCTGCTCCTTCACTGGCAGTGTTTGTGCACGTTTGTGTGTGTGCACAAATTGTTATTCTTCTACAGGAAGTTGCATTTTTTCAAATGCTGCTGCTCCAGTTTGCCTCAGCTGCAGAGTCCCACAGCCTGCTTTTTTGGCTTGGCAGGAGTGTAATGTGCAAATACAGTAAATATTAATTTAAGGATAACTATGAGCTGCACAAAAATGTTTTCCTCCTTTGTGTTCTTCCCAGCGTGTATTCTGGACACCAGTCAGTTTTAATTCCTCCTATGGAGCTGGAATCCAACCTTTTTCTCTGGTTATCTACTGTCAGCCAGTATAAAATAAGGGACACTTTCTGTTCCTATTCAGTCATGGAACTGTGCACAAAGGGACTTGGAAACCAAGTTGAAATGCTGAAGGTAAGAAGCGTTTCCTGAGTGATCCCTTGGGTAAATTAATACGAGTTTTGCTCAGAAGGCAAATCAGCAAAGCAGGTTTGCAGCCCCGGGAGAGGGAAGGGCTGGGGTGGAGCAGGGAGGTGTGTGGAGTGCAGGAATCACCTGTCAGGGAGTGCCAGGACAGCCCTGAGCAGGGGGAGGATCCCAGCAGGGCTCTGCTGCAGGATTCCTTATGTAACAGCCTGCAGTGGAGGCTGAGCCCAGCACATGATGTACAGCACATGGCAGGGGCTGCTGAATGGAGGTGTGTTCTCCTTGGAGATGAGAGAAGGGGAAAAAACAGCTCCATGAGGTGCCTGAGGTGGCTTTTGGCCCGGGGTTTAGTGCAGCAGTGGCTCCCTCTGGGAGATTCTGTGGGGTGGCAGGGCTGTGTCACCAGGTGAGCACACTGGGCATGTGCTGGTCACTGCATTCCTGGTGGAAATACTTTTATTATAATTATAATTATTACTATTATTATTGACAACACCACCAATAATAATGATAACACCACCAACAACAACACATAGAAGCTGAAAAGAGGAAATAACTTGAACACAAGAGCAGGGTTTGTCCTGCGTCTCCCGAGTTATTCCCAGGATTAAGGAGCAAGTGTCACCTCTTGAGAGGGGGCAGAGGTGACCAACACATCCAGCCCTGTGCCTGAATAACAACAACAGTAATAATAATGATAATGATGATAATAATAATTAGAAACTGAAAAGAGGAAATAACCTGACCACAAGAGCAGGGTTTGTCCTGCATTTCCCGAGTTATTTCCAGGGATAAGAAGCAAATACCACCTCTTGAGCGGTGACAGGTGATCAGCACATCCAGCCCTGAATAATAATAATAATAATAATAATAATAATAATAATAATAATAATAATAATAATTATTACAAGTAGAAGCTGAAGAGAGGAAACAACCTGACCACAAGAGCAGGGTTTGCCCTGCGTGTCCCTGGGAACAAGGAGCAAATGCCCCTTGCTGAGAGGGATCCTGATCCTGATCCTTGTCCTCCCCAGGCCCGGGGCATCAACCTGTCGTGTGTGAGGACGTGTGTGGTGGTGGCAGAGGAGCGGCCCAGGGTGTCCCTCACCCAGTCCTTCTCCAAGCTCTTCAAGGACATTGGGCTCTCGTCCCGCGCCGTCAGCACCACCTTCGGCTCCCGGGTCAACGTGGCCATCTGTTTACAGGTGACACTTCCCAGGGCCTCCCCCTGTCCCTGCAGTGCCAGATCCCTCGTTCCAGGCTCGGTTCCGTTCCCAATCCGCAGGCTCCCCCCATCTGGAGCCCAACATCTGCCCTGCCCAGAGCAGCTGGCAGCAGGTTTAAGCAGCTTCCCTTGTTTTCGGCTGCCGGATTATACCACAGATGCTCCAAGCAGCTGGAACGTGGCTTGGGGAGCTGTTCATTCCCACATGGACAGCGCTGGTGTGTTTATTCCCGCACAAACAGTGCCTGCTTGTCCCAGCACTGATGGCTGAGGGGGCTTGGATTGTGTGTCCCCCCCTCCCAAGTGTTACCCGGTGACCACTGAGGGGTCTCCATCAGTGCAGCTGCAAAGGTGGGGGGCATGTGAGTGGGAATTGTGCTGTAGGAAACCCCTGGAAAGGTTTCTGGGCTCAGGCAGAAGTTCCCCTGCCTGATGGAGATAAACTGATGGGGTTTTAAATGTTTCAACTCCTCAGGGGACGTCTGGGCCCGATCCCACCACGGTGTACGTGGACCTGAAATCCTTGAGGCATGACAGGTACATCAATCAGTTCATTAAATCAACTTACCAGCTACACAGAATGCTGTGAGGGTGCTGAGCTCTCACAGTGCTCTGGAGATTTCCCCTCTTTTCTCCTGACAAGGTTTTCTTTCCCCTCAGAGTCCGTCTGGTGGAACGAGGAGCTCCCCAGAGCCTGTTGCTTTCCGAGTCTGGGAAGGTAATTCCACGTCTTCATCCGGAGCCACAGCACAGGGGGCAGTTTGGGAACCACACATTTCTCACAGCCCTGGGAAGGATAATCCTGTGGCAGGGCTCGGGAAGGGCTTGGTTACGCTGTTCCTCTGGAAAATCAGTTGGATTTGTAGTGAAGTAATGATTAAGGAGCGTGTTTTGCTGAAACTCGTGGGAGAATTGGTTCTGTTTGCAGTAAATGAACCAAATCACAGAGTGAATTAGCTTGGGAAAGACCTCTGAGATCATCGAGTCCACGTCAGAAGTGGGGGCTGTGGGATCCTTGAAATCAGCCTGTATTTGGGATTTACTCTTGCTCCCTCATGGATTAACAAAAAGAGGTTTCCTGGTATTTTTGTAACTGAATCCTTCAAAATCGAGGTCTAGCAACATGTCCAGGCCCAGAATGCCCTCCCTGCGTGGCCCTTGAGCCCTGGAATCCACCCATTCCCTGATCCTGCCTCGCTGTACCCGTCCTGGTGTGTCTGATCCCTGCCTGTGGTGGCTGTGGGTGAAATCCTGCCCTGAATGGATGTGGTTTATTGTGCCTGAGGATAATCCAGCAGGAGTTACACGTTCCATCTTGTGCTCCTTAGATCCTGCCCGGAGTCAAAGTGGTCATTGTCAACCCGGAGACAAAAGGGCCTCTGGGAGATTCCCACCTTGGGGAGGTGAGTGGAGATTTTGCTCCTTGGGGACCTTCTCCTGCTGCTGCTTGGGCTGTTCTCTGCTGGGTTCTGAGGCTGTTGGGGGGGGGCAGTTTGGAGCTGTGAACCTCACGGGCCTTTTCAAGCTGAATTACTGCTGCAGCTCTCAGAATTTGGGCTTTATTTCCCTGCCCAGCTGAAAGAAAACCCACTTAGAAAGGAAAGCTTGTTCCCACTCTAAATCTCGCAAACTGGCTCCCAGATAATCTTAATTTACATTTGGCTTTCCCCATCTTGATTACAAACCAGCGCATTTGTCTGTGTTGGCAGATTATTATCAAACTCTGGACTCGACACGTTAAAAATCCACAGATTTTTTACTCAGTTACTGCGAGAGTGGGTCTGCAAGGTGCATTAATAAGACAACAGATATTAAGAGAATAATTATTAAGAGAATAATTAAGACAGTTATGAAGACAATAAAGGAGGATATTTGGAGGTTTGGTCTGAAAAGGTGGCAGATAAAAAGGGACCCTTCACCCCGGAGCTCCACGTTAACGCCCGGGGGTGAGTGGTCGCTCTCCCCTCCCTGCACAGATTTGGGTGAACAGCCCCCACACGGCCAGCGGCTACTACACCATCTACGACAACGAGACCCTGCAGGCCGACCACTTCAACACCCGCCTGAGCTTCGGGGACGCGGCGCAGACGCTCTGGGCCCGCACCGGCTACCTGGGATTCGTGCGGCGCACCGAGCTCACGGCGGCCAGCGGAGGTTTGGGGGGGTCTGGGGGGAGCTCAGGGTCACACATCTCCAGGACAGGGGCCAGGACAGGCTCAGGGAGTGGCCCTGGGGGAGCTGGTGGGGTTGATATTGGGGAGGAGTTCCTCCCCATGAGGGTGGGGAGGCCCTGAGGTTGCCCGGAGGAGCTGTGGCTGCCCCATCCCCGGGAGCGTCCAAAGCCAGCTTGGAGCCACCTGGGCTGGTGGAAGGTGTCCCTACACTCTGTTTGCCCTGAACTCCAGCCCTGACAGCTCCTTTCCCCTCTCCCCAGAGCGCCACGATGCCCTGTACGTCGTGGGAGCCCTGGACGAGACTCTGGAGCTGCGGGGGCTGCGGTACCACCCCATCGACATCGAGACCTCGGTGTCCCGGACCCACAGGAGCATTGCTGAATGGTAACACAGCCCCCAGGGCTGCACTGCTCCTGGCCCAGCTGGACTGCAGCAGTCTAGGCAAAGAGGCAGGGTTTAATTGGGGGAAAAAAAAAATAAAAATCAGGAAATTCAGATTACTTCCTTTTGGGAAATTCAGGTTTATCTGTGTTGCCCTCAGCCGGGCCTGCACCTGATTTCCCACGTGCAGGTCAGAACAGACTCCGGTGTTTTCTCACAAGCCTCAGTGTTGAATAGAAATGATGATTTCCTCCTTTGGGGGGGTAAAGAGCCATTTCCCAGTGGGTGGCAGCAGTGTTGTTGTATCACACAGGGGGTGCTGAGGTGGGTCTGAACTGACCCGTGACACCTCAGGGCCAGATCGCCTTGGGGTTAGGTTGGAAGTGCAACCCAGAGCAGATGGGAGGCTCCACCTGAGATAATCAGCTGGAAACTCGGGATGTCTGTGACAATAACCGGCTTTTCTGTTGGTTCTTCCTTTGCCCTTCCAGTGCCGTGTTCACCTGGACCAACCTGCTGGTGGTGGTGGTGGAGCTGTGTGGCTGCGAGCAGGAGGCCCTGGATTTAGTCCCTCTGGTGACCAACGTGGTGCTGGAAGAGCATTACCTGATCGTGGGAGTGGTGGTGGTGGTGGATCCCGGGGTGATTCCCATCAATTCCCGAGGCGAGAAGCAGCGGATGCACCTCCGGGACAGTTTCCTGGCGGATCAGCTGGACCCCATTTACGTGGCCTACAACATGTGATGGGAGGAGCTGCAGGACCACCAGAAGGACCCAGGGCGGTGATGGAAGCAGAGCTGGTGAAATTACTAATACTTGACCTTGCAGTTTGACCTTGCTGCCACATTCCCTCCCTCCCTGCCCCTGGAGGGGTCCCGGTGGAGCGGAGGGAATTTGGGAAGCAACTGGCAAACCTTTGTAACAGTTTACTGAACCATGAGCTTTAGAGAAATGCAAAGTGGAAAAGTGTGTGAGCTACAAAACCCCCAAGGCCTTTACACGTAGTGTTACTTTTTCACCCGTTGTACATATTTGTATTTTTATCTAATCCTGGGGTAGGATTCTATAAGGGGGAGGGTTTATTTAGTTAAGATAATAAACTATTAAGAAAAGGGTCATCAGAGTTCTGCAGTTCCCTACTCCATGATTGCATCTGGAGCTGTTCATCCCGTGGGATCACACAGCTTGTTGACAATTTGTGCCATGACCAAATCAATAACTTGCGGAATCGAAGAGTTACTTATTCATATAGAGATTTCTGGAATTTAAAAAAAAAAAAAAAAAAAGAAAAAAAAAAGAATTTTGCCTATATTTTAAATATGTAAATATTATTATACATAATTCACTTAGGTAGCAAATTAACTTGGCTTATGAGGACAGCTGGAGGTTGATGTTTTTAAGGACGGGTGACTTTTGTGGTCCTCAGCATCCTGGTGTTGGCTCAGACACAATGTGAGATGCTCCCACCTTCCACAGGTTTCTGATTTCATTTGTCTCTTCACCCTGGCCAGAAGTGTGTCAGAGCACGTAGAACCTTTGGATATTAAGGCACATCTTTCTCCAAGAGGCTGAATTTAACCTGGAACTGGGGAGAAACGGCAATGCAGGTCCCGAATCCCGAACTGGAATGGTGCAGCCTCGGCCTCATCCTCTGGCTCTGGGTGTGGGAAGGAAAAAAACATTCCTTGGGTGGACACAGACACACAGGGGACTGCCCTGCTTGTGCCACCCAGTCATGACTCCTTCCATCCCCAGGAAATACTGTAAATAGGCTTTAGGAGCCCATCTTCCCCCAGAGCGTTCCCTGGAAGGAACAGGGGAATCCTGGGGTTAGGTTGGATGCAGTTGTTTCTTTTCCAGGAGTCAGAGGGTTCGGTGATGCTGTTCAGTCTGCTCTGCCAGCCTTCCACCTCCTGTGTCAGCTCCAGAGTCAGGGAATGGGAAGAAAGAGGAGCCTTAGAGCAGCAGGGAACAAGCTTTTCCTGCTGGGAAGCCCTTCCACAGAGCTGGTGGTTGAGCTTTGACTCGAAAAATGACCTTTTTCCGTTCAACGCTTCATCTTTTAATAGCAATTACATTCCTCTGGGTGCTAAAATCCGATTTTGGAAGCCTTGGGGGGGCTGCTGCCAGATCCTGCAGCGGGGTTTTTTGAGTCCCACGTGGTATATACAGTGTAAATAAAACTTTTCAGATGCTCCAGATACCTCATGCAAAGTTTTTAGGGCCGTTTTTAAAAGGTTTATGGTGTGGACTCGGAAGATCCTGTGGCAGTTCCTGGAGCAGAACCCGGTGGATCCGTGGGCAGAAGCCCAGCCGTGTCCTGGAAGAAGCTCCTGCTGCACCCTGGTAGTTCCTCACCGAAAACAGGAGCTTTAAAAAAAAAAAAAAAAAAACTCAGAGAGAAGAAGTTTGAAAGTATATTTTTGAAAAAAAAAAATTTAAAAAAAAAAATTTAAAATATTTGGTGGGGAAATAGCTTTAGGAACTGGAAGTTTCATGGCAGGTCTGGGCTGAAGGTTCTTTGCAAACACTTCGGTTCACGGGGGGCACGTTTTGGGAACCTTTTTCTGTGTTTTCCACAGCAAAATAGGCACCAAATCTTTAATATATTTAGTTTTAACCAATTGACCGCAGCGTGGGGACAGCGACAGGGGAAACTGTGACTAACACAGTTGGTCCTGCAGCTTATTTTGGGTGTAAAGTGCACAAAGGTGGTTCTCCCTTTTCAGCCAGAAAATTCCTGTTATTCCATGTTCTCTGTGTCACCATTTTTGTGTTCCTTGCACAGCCCGGGCCGGGCCGAGCAGCTTCACTCCAACGTGACCTTTCCAGGGAAAATTCTGGTGGTCTTGGACCTTTTTCCTTTACTCAAAAGCTTTAGTTGAATTGTTTCAACGGATGCTTTTTGTCCCCCGGAGTGGATTTCAAGTCCAGTTCCGGGGTTGCTGTTTATTTTAACTCGTGATTTCTTCACAAAGGAAACGAGGTGTGTGTGTGAATTCCACCAGAGATCCCCCAAATGTGGTAGGTGGCCTTCCCAAAGTGGGAATTTTTTTTTTTTTTTGAATGAGACTGGACTCATTTAATCTTACTTTTCCCTTATTTTTTTGTTTGGGTGGGCTTTTTTCATGCCTTGGGGCTTTGTCCTGCAATTCCCTGGGTGCTCCAAAGCCTTCCCTCTGGCATGTCCGTGCTGGAGAACTGCAGGATGGATGCAGCCCTGCCCCTGGAAAGAGGGAACATTCCAGGGACATGGAGCAGCTGCTCAGTTTGGCTTCCCCGGGTGCTTTGTCCGTGTTTTGGCACAGTGGGAAGCACTGGGGAGGAGGGAGGATGGAGCTGGGACTCCGGAATCCCCAGATCCTCCCTTTGGCTCCCACGAGCTTTCCACGGCTCATTCCACTCCTTCCATCCCTTCCTCTGTGATTTTTTTTTCCATGCGGGAACAAACCAAGATCCTTCACTCCAGGCATTGGCAGGGGCAGGGCTGGGTGCTTTTCCCAAAAAAATCAAAATAAAAAAAACAGCCTCTCCCCCCTGGTTTGCCTTCCCAGCTCCCGGAGTCGCACAGGGCACGTTATTCCTCCCTCTTGTCCCTCAGGTTCCAAGCTTAGCGACCGCAGCGAAGCTGAAAAAGTGGGAATTCTTCCCACTGAACTAAACCAGTTTGTGTGTCTCACTGTCTCTGGATCTTCCCTGAGCAAACTGTGTGGGAACAGGTCGGTTTCATCCTCTTCTGTTGGAATTTGCACTTCGTTTCTGTTTTAAATCAACGGAATTCAGCTGTTTCCTACTAACTGCTCTAAAAATAAGGTTGTAAAAAAACCAGATCAGTTTTAGCCCTAGGTGCATTTGTTTTTCCTTTAATTTCTGTCAACCTCTTTCCCATTGTCCAATCCAGACTCCGGCGTTTCTGTAATTATGTATAAAGGTTTTATTTATTTAAAATTAGCTTAGTTACATTTTTAAATTTTAACACCTGGCTGGACAGTGTCCCATTAACGCATTGATTGTGTTTCCTTTGTCTTGTGTTAATAAATATTGATGCCTGGTTGCTCGTTTAGTCCTTCAAGATGCTGTTTCCATGAAGGAATTTTTGGTTTTTAAGGGGGGAAACGTGGGTTAAGGTTGATCCAGGGGAGAGGGAGGACTCATGAGTGGTTTATGTTTTTTATTCGTGTTGTTGAGGGGGGTCTGAGCCCTGAGGGGGTGAAGGGCTGGACGGGTGTCCTGGACCTGCGGCTTTGTGAATCCGAGTTTTTGGGAATCAGAGCTGGGGAAGGGGCTGGAGCAGAGGGAGAAGGGGCTGGAGAGCTGAGGGAGATGAGGGGGCTCAGCCTGGGGAGAAGAGGAGGGTCAGGGGGGACCTTCTGGCTCTGCAACTCCCTGTGATGGGGTTGGAGCCGGGGGGGATCGGGCTCTGCTCCCAGGGAACGAGGGATGGGATGAGAGGAACCAGCCGGCGGCTGGGTGGGCAAGGGCAGGGCGCTGGGATGGGGATCCCTCGCAGCTCAGGCTGGGAACACAACACCGGGAATATCGGGACTATCGCGACTTTCCCCTGCGGCGGCGGCGGCCGCCCTCCCGGCCGCGGGGTGGCGCTGTCTCCGCGGGCGCTGCCTGGCCCGGCGCTCCGCCGCGCCCTCTCTATGGTCCGGCCGGGCGGGGCCGGCGCTCAGGCGGCCGCTCTAGCCCGGCGCGCGCGCGCTCCGCGCCGCTGGCGCTCTATGGCGGGGGCTCCTCTCTATGGTCGCGGCCCGCCCCCCCCCCCCACCCCGCCGGCGCCGCTCCCCTGAGGCGGGACCGGCACCGGGGCCGCCACCGGCACCGGGACCCGGCGGCTCCGGCGCTCCCCACGCGCGGCCCCGCGGGGCTCTGAGGTAAGCGCGGGCTTGCGGAGGCCGCCCCGTCACCCCCTCTCTCGGCCCGCCCGCCCCTTCTCCCTCCCCTCGCTTCCCCCCCCCCTCCCCGCGCCGTCCGTGAGGGGACGGGCACAGGCCGCGGCCTCGGCCTCGGCCCGGCGGGGCCCGCGGGGAGCTCCGGCCGCGGCCGGGCCTGAGGCGCTGCTGCCGGGGCCGGGCCTGCTGTCCCTGGGGGGCTTTGAGGGGAGAAACGGGGTCTGGGGGTGACGAAGGGTCCCCTCCCGCTTCCCCCTCCCCGGGTCCCGTTCCCCCCATTCCCGCTCCCTCTCCCTGCTCCTTCCCCCCCACCGAGTCTTGGGAAGGGGGAAAGGGGAGTCTGAGGGTGAGGAGGGACCCCCCCCACCCCCAAGTCCCGTTTCCCCCCTCCCTGGGGGTGGGGGGGTTTAAAAGGGGGTCCCCCGGTGCCCCCCCAGCTCCAGTCGGTGCCGGGCAGCTCGTGGCGAACAGGAGCTTTCTCGCTCATTAAGGCGCCGTTTAATTAATGGCCGTCGGTACCTGCTCTCCCGGGATTTTTTTTTTCCCCAAATCGCGCTGGGGAGGATGTCGGTGCTCTCGGGGGGGGGGTTTTGCTCTCACAGCCCCTCAGATCCCCGGTGGAACAGGGAGGGTTTCGGGCTGCGGCTTTTGGGGCCGAAGCTCCTGGCAGGGACGTTCCTGTACGGGCTGGGGCGGGGGGAGTGGAAGAAAACACACGTGGAGTTTCAAGGAATATCTCTGTGTGTTTGTGGAGTTCTGACAGTTTTCTGGGTGAACAAAATTCCCCCAGGCGTCTCAGTTGCAGAATTAGGTAAATAATCTTTTTGCTGATTTTAAGGCACTGCAGAACCCCGAATTCCCTCAGATTACTTCAGTGTCACTGAAAAAAAAAAAAAACATTCTCAATCCCTTTGAGGAATTTGTAAATGTCAGAATTTGTCTCCTGTCACTGAGTATTTGAGAGCAAATGCCTTGTCCCATTTGTTCTTTGGCTTCCGACTTCAGAAAGCCTTTAAAAATATGATTAATTGGCTCTTACAGTATTTCAGTGGTGAAAACATCATTTAGGCCTTTCCTCTGCTCGATCTAAAAGAGCAAAACAGCTCTTGGTTCCTTCCTCTGATGCTCTTTGTAGCATTTTAGGGAATTCAGAGAATTAGTGAAAGTTGTGGGAATGAGATGTTTTGGGTTGTTTTTTTTTGCCACTCCTGAGGCATTTTGGATGTTCCTGGGTGGGGGGGTCACACTGAGGCCTGTGGGATTTGGGGGGGGGGGTTGTCCCTGAGCTTTGGGGTGAGAAACAAATCGTGCCCAGGATGAACTGTGACATTCCTGCTTCTGTTTGAAATCCCTGGCTGGAGGGAGATGATGCCCAGGATTCTGGGAGTCCCTGAAGTCCTTTCATGAGAATCCTCTCAGTTAAATGACTTTTGAGGTGCAGCTCCCTGGACACTTTGGTTTTGTTCCAAAAAACATCACCTGTACCTGTCTGACCCTAAAAAAGTGGGGTTTGACCAGATTAGGGCAATAATTATAAATTATAAATAAACCCTCCTGTCAGGACTCTGTGACTCTTCCTTCTCCCCAAGGTGAGCAGCTCTCTCAGCTCAATAAATCCGAATTCAGCTCTTGGAGCAGTTTCACCTGTGGTTGTGCTCAGGGATTTTCCCTTTTTGGTGCTTCTTGTCAAAGCTTGAGACCTGCAGGTTGAGGTTTTCCCTTGGAGCTTCCCTCTGCAAGCTGGTGGATGCCAGTTGCTGCCTCAGGTGCTCACAGGAGGCCGTTCCAATAGGAAATTCCCAGTTTTCCAGCCAAGTAAGGTGTTTCAGCAAGGTAAAGGCACTTGAGCCTTGTGAGACAGTCACATCCAGGGAGGAATTCCAGGGGGAATTCCCACCTTGCTGAGTCTTCTCATGGATATTGTTGCGCTCAGATGGATGGTGGATGAATAATTAAGACACCACAGAGCAAGCAGAGATGGAGTCAGCTCAAAAACCCCACCTTTCTAATGGGAAGTGCTTTATCTTTCACTCCTGTAAAGCAGCACTTCACACCCATCAGAGAGAGGGAGATCAGCAGAACCTCCCCGCGGTGCTGCTTTTGGGTGCTTTTATCGGTTTCACTGTTTCTCTGCAGGCTGGTTTGAGTCTTTCATGGGACGACGAGGCAGAGAAAGGGGTGACAGAGAGCAGGGGAGGGCAGGCTGTGGTTTGGCGCTACAGAAATGAACAGGGGGGGTTTTTGGGGCGCTGGAAATTCGGTGTCATCTTCGCCGCTGCTGGATTTCGGTTTGAGGGGCCCCGGGGTTGGGGGGGGGGGGCAAAGGTGGATTTTTTTTTTTTCCCCCTTATTAAAGCTAAAGCTGCATTAGAGGACAGACAAAGTTGTGTCCCCTGCACATGTTTGTCATGAATTCTGCTCCTCGTTTTTGATGTGGTTGATGTTTGCAGCCACGAGGACGTTGGGAAGCTGCATCACGTGCTGGGGAGGGTTTGGTCCGTGCTGTAGAGGACACATGGAATCACAGAGTCCTGGAATGGTTTGGGTTGGGAGGGACCTTAAAGATCATCCAGTGCCACTCCTGCCACCTTCCACCAGCCCAGGCTGCTCCAGCCTGGCCTGGGACACTCCCAGGGATGGGGCAGCCACAGCTCCTCTGGGCAACCTGTGCCAGGGCCTCCCACCCTCCCAGGGAGGAATTCCTTCCCAATATCCCACCTCTGGCAGTTTGAAGCCCTTCCCCCTTGTCCTGCCACTCCAGGCCCTTGGAAATGGTCCCTCTCCATCTTTCCTGCAGGTTCCCTTCAGGTCCTGGGAGGCCCCGGCGAGGTGACCCCAAAGCCTTCCCTTCTCCAGGCTGAACAATCCCAATTCTCCAGCCTTTCCCCGTGGCACAGCTGCTCCATCAATGTGTCTTGTACCACCCAAACACTCTTTTTATCCCTCCAAAGCCCTGATTTAGTGCCTGATCCGGGTGGTCCCGAGTGGGACCCCTGGGAGCTGAGGATGCAGGAACAGGACTCTGCTCTCCGTCGCCTTTTTTCCCCCCTCGGAGCGTTCGCTGCGGTTCAGCTCGGCAGGGAAAAATCAATGACTCACATTTCCACAGAAAGAAATGTAATTTCCAGTCTCATAGCAACTGTCCTTTCAACACTTTCAAACCTTCTGTGACAAAATGTTTAACACTCACCCATCAGCTTTTAATGCTCCAGGCTGGTCCGCCCACTCCCCCCCAGCTGAAACCTGCACTTGTGCATCCCTGAATCCCCCAATATCCGAGGGGGGTGGGGATGCTGGCAAGACGCTGAGCAGTTAAATATAAAACCTTAGACATGAGAGAGGTGTTGGTGACTGCATTACATGGAGACAGAGTGACTCTGGCAAGGCTTAAAATTCAAAACTGCGCTCTCTCTCCACTTGGATTCGAGTCCCTGGTTTGTTTCTGTACACCTTCGGATGGTTTAAAATAGGTTTGGCTGTAAAATCTCCTGGGAAATTCTCTTGCTTAGAGCAGGATATTCTTTAATATACAGAATCTCGGCTTTCTTCCTGGATCTTCCTTCCCACTGCCCAGAGGGCAGGGTGAGATGGGATACTGGGGAGAAGTTCCTCCCTGCGAGGGCCCTGAGGTTTCCCAGAGAAGCTGTGGCTGCCCCTGGATCCCTGGAGGTGTCCAAGGCCAGGCTGGAGCAGCCTGGGCTGGTGGCACAGGGTAGAACGAGGTGGCCTTTAAGGTCCCTCCCGTCCCAGACCACTGAGGGATCCCCTGTTAACTGCACGTCCCTGTTTTCCCCCAGCTGATGATGGAAGAGGTGCACAAGGGCAGCAGCAGCAGCTCCGTGACGCCGTCCCAGCCCTCGGCCGTACAAGGTACAACCCTCCAGGCAGCTCAGCTCTCTCATATTACCCAACAGGTAAAGCCTGGGCTGGATCTCAGCAAACATTTCAGGGCCTTCAGAGCCACTTTTTAGTGTGCCAGAAACCAAAGGTTCATTCTTAAAAGCACACGGAGAAGGAGAAAGCAGGAGGAGGTTGAGAAAGATGTGTTTGTTTGTTGGTGAACGGCGTCAAATTAATGAAAAAGTGTTAGAAAGTTATTTTTTGGGCTCGTACAATGCAGAATTGCAGCCCAGAGGTTGGGTTGGTTGACCACAGGAGCTGCTCAGGAATAAATCAGGGCCCTGCTTTCATTTTTTTTTCCTCAGGAAAAGCATTTCCAGCTCCTTTTGTAGTAACAGCAATGCTGGGTGTGCTGAGCACCATGGAAACACTTGGAGTTTAGCCCAGCATGAGCATATTTAATGTGATAAATCATATGAAGTTGGAAATGTGAGATTCTTCCTCCGAGATGACATCCCTGTCAGAGCTTTCACCTGAACCCCTCCAGGAGTCAACCCCTTTTGCTGCACCTGGGAGTGAATCCTTCCAGGAGGGTTTTCCTGGGAAACAGCAACGTTTTGCAGCTCACCCACTGTTCACCCTGTGGAGGCAGTTGGTGTTTTGATGCAAAATTTGGATTTAAGAGAGGAGAGAATATCAGCAGGTGTCCTGGGGTTGGTTTGCAGGCTGCTTTTATGCTGTTTTTATATATAGTTCTGAATGTCCCTTAATATTGTGATTTATGGTACAAAAAGTAGCCTGAGGTGGAAGTTCAGCTGTGTGAGTGTTAACGATCCCTTCATCTTCTCATTTATTTCAGATTAAATAAAGTAGTGAAGAAATTTGGTGAGGAAACTGATTATTTACTTACAGTCAACTTGAATTATTCTTGGTTTGTGAACATGTGAACAGTATCAGTTGAATTAAAGTGCAAGGATTTATGTGAGTTCGGTGTCCAAACTACAGACCCTCTAGGAAGTCGCGGTGTTTGCATCTTTTTAATCTCAATATGTGACATAACGTGACATATTTGATTTCCCCCAAAACCGAAGGAAACAAAAACCTGTTTCAGCCACTTTCACAGTAAGTGCTGCCTCAAAACTGTGCATCTTCACAGGTACTTTTGTGGTGTAATTATAATTAAAAGAAGCTTCTGCCTGTTCTGCACCAGCTGCGCTCCCCGAGCCCCGCGGCACAGAGGTTTTACTGATGGTTTCGGCTCTGTTGTAGATGTCTCTCAGAGGTTCTGCCCCCCTGACCGTGGTTCAGCTTCCTGGAGAGCAAGTCCAGGTGCAGGGAGTCATCCAGACAGCCCAGTCCTCCTCCGTGATCCACTCCCCTCAGGTGCAGACCGTGCAGGTAACCCCAGCAGGGCTTTCCAGCCCCAAACCTCGGCACTGCTGTGAGGGACAGAGAGGGATCCAGGGGCAGTCCTGTGGGACACAACATCCCTCCTTTGGGCTGGTGCTGAGATCACCTTTGGAGTTCCAAACAAACCCCAGCCCACAGCTCTGTGGCTGTGCCTTGGCAGACAGGGCGGTGGGGTTTGGCCCCCCCCAAGGAGGGGGAGTGAGTGAGGAGCGGTAGAATAATAATAATAATAATTCAGAAATGGGTTAAAGTGAGTCTTTGGGAAAGGTGGGCCCGAGCAGAGGGCTGAGCTGCTGCCTGCTCACCTCGTGCGCTCTGTAACTCCCTCTCAGAGGTGCCCAAGTCTCTGCTTGTGCCTCTTACTCACTGGCCACGTGGTTTTTGTGAGTCACTTGCGAGGGGTGCCCGGGGAGTTCCAGTGAGGCTGTTCCTGCTCCGTTCAGTCCCTGCTCCGTTCAGTCCCTGCTCCGTTCAGTCCCTGCTCCGTTCAGTCCCTGCTCCGTTCAGTCCCTGCTCCGTTCAGTCCCTGCTCCGTTCAGTCCCTGCTCCGTTCAGTCCCTGCTCCGTTCAGTCCCTGCTGCAGAGCCCTCGGGGCACTGGAGTTACACTGGGAAACCACTGCCCTGGCAGCTGGGCGAGGGAGGAGCTGCCCTGAAACACAGGAATTTGTCCCTGATCCTTGTCCCACACTCCTCTGCTCATACCAATCTGAACTGATAAACCATGGGAAGCAGAGCTGGCAGGGACTGTCAGCTGCCTCTGCTGGGACACCAGAGCAGGGACAGGAGAACACGTGTCGAGAGAAAGCAGTCGAGCCTCCGCCTCGGTTGTTGGTGCTCGTGTCTCCCTTAATCCCATTCCTTTTCCTTCCCCCTCCTGCAGGGTCCCACAGACTGGATTCTGTCCTTTTTTTATTTTTTTCCTTCCCTGTTATTTATGAACATCGTGGCCTTGTTGGGAGGGGAAAAAAAAAAGTACACCACGAGCGGTTATTTTTCACTGCAGATCGTGGGCTGCTCTGTCTGTCTCTGCAGCTCGGTGGGAAAGGCTTTTCCCAGAGCTCTCTGCATTCCTCTGGACTCTGCTGCTGGCACACAGATAAGAACAAATAAATACTGTGTTCACTAATAAAGAGCATCAGAGACAAAATAACACTTTGAGCTGGGTGAGCACACGGTAGAATAAAGAGAATCGCAGATAGCGCTTCTCACATTCACTCCCTGATACGCTGCTGCCTTAAACGTTGTTTTCCTTGGGCTCACATTCTCACCAACAAGCCCCACAGCTCCTCTGCCTACATAAACATCTGTGTTTGTGCATCACTGGTGTTCCTGTTCCCTCTCCCACCAGGTCTCTTCCTTGTCTGAGAGCGAGGATTCCCAGGACTCCTCAGACAGCATCGGCTCCTCGCAGAAGGCTCGAGGCATCTTGGCTCGCCGCCCCTCGTACCGGTACTGATGAGATGGGACACCCTTGGTGTCGTGTTTGAAACCAAGGGAGCGGCTCCTTTCGGTGGCTTCACATGCTCTGTCGACCTCCAAGTTGTTTGCTGTCCCTTGGAACGTGCAGTGGGGCTGTTCAGGCACTGAACACCCCGAGAGCTGCCAGAGGAAACTCTGACTCCACTGGCTGGAGATGGGCCTCAGCACGATGTCGTGCAGGGGAAAATGCGCATCAGCCGTGATCTTACTCAGCTGTATCACTTCACTGAAGTGGGCAGTGTAGCCAAATGTCAAACTCTTTTTTTTTTTTTTTTTTCCCCCCACAGAAAAATTTTGAAAGATCTTTCCTCTGAAGACACACGGGATAGAAAAGGAGATGAGGAAAGCCCCGGGGTCTCCACTGTCACCTCCATGTCCGTTCCCACACCCATCTACCAGACAAGCACAGGACAGTACAGTACGTCACCCGAAATACCTACACAGTTTTTATTCAGCTGGCCTCAAAATACAGGTTTTGTTATGTATTTGGTTAAGATGAAACTCAAAGGTTGGTTATTATCTAGCAGTCAGTAAAGTTAGTGCATAGAAATAACTGGTATCTGCAGACCTCAGGTAAACTCAGTGCTCTGTAATCTTAGTTTTTGCAGATTAGGACATTTAAGGCTGTCGGTGTGAAGCACCCAGCAGTGCTCTGTGCTGGATTTAACCCAAAATGTCAGCTCAGTGAAGACACTGATATATACAGAGAGACAGACATATCATAGACCACACCAAAAGGTTCCTGTGGGATCAGGGAGGCAGCAAAAGAATAGGATTTGTCCCTTTGATGGTATTCACTGTGCTGTCCCTGTCCCTTCCCCGCAGTCGCCATCGCGGCCAACGGGCTGCAGCTGGCGGGGCCGGGGGCGGACGGGGTGCAGGGGCTGCAGGCGCTGACCATGGCCAACACCGGCACCTCCCAGCCCGGCACCACCATCCTGCAGTACGCCCAGACCTCGGACGGGCAGCAGATCCTGGTGCCCAGCAACCAGGTGGTGGTGCAGAGTGAGTACCCCTGGGGACAGGGTCACCCCTTCAGTGTCCCCTGCTAACGCTGCCCTGTTCGGTGTCCCCTGCTAATGCCCTGTTTGGTGTCCCCTGCTAACGCTGCCCCCTTTGGTGCCCCCAGCTGTCCCCTAAAAATGCCCCCTTTGGTGTCCCCTCCTAACTCTGTCCCATTTCTGGTGTCCCCAGCTGTCCCCTCCTAACCCTGCCCCATTTCTGGTGTCCCATTGTCCCCTCCTAACCCTGCCCCATTTCTGGTGTCCCATTGTCCCCTCCTAACCCTGCCCCGTTTCTGGTGTCCCCAGCTGTCCCCTCCTAACCCTGCCCCGTTTCTGGTGTCCCCAGCTGCCTCTGGGGACATGCAGACGTACCAGATCCGCACCACGCCCACCACGTCGTCCCTGCCGCAGACGGTGGTGATGACGTCCCCGGTCACTCTGACGTCGCAGACCAGCAAGACGGACGACCCGCAGCTGAAACGGGAGATCCGCCTGATGAAGAACAGGTACGTGGCTGCCCCCGGGCTCGCTGAGCTTGCTGGTTGTGCTGCACCCGCTCCCTGGAGCTTGGGAGATTCAAAACCACGGGAGATTCTCACCCAGACTCGCTCCCTGGTTTTGTTCCTCCCTGCAGCTGAGCTGTCTCACGACTGTAACGTTCAGAAAACAGATCTAAGGTGAGCAATCGCGCTCGTGTGTTGCAGGGAAGCCGCCCGGGAGTGCCGCAGGAAGAAGAAGGAGTACGTGAAATGCCTGGAAAACCGAGTGGCGGTCCTGGAAAACCAGAACAAAACTCTAATTGAAGAACTGAAAACTTTGAAAGATCTTTACTGTCATAAAAGTGTGTAAGAAAGGAAGGTAAAAAAGCCTTTGGGGACTGGTGAAATTTCAGAGGAGACTTTTTTTTTTTATACTGAATTTTTTAAAACTAGATGAAAGGTCAAAACTGAAACTTTTCTACCTAGATTTCACAGCTCAGAGACTCTGTAGATTTTATTTACAACGTGTTGGTGACAAAGTACAAAAAGGAGACAAGAAAACCTCACCAAAATTCCTGCTGGCACAACTGGAAACTGATAAAAGTCAAGATTGCAGCTACAGTGGAAGGACAGTCACGTGTGACGAGGCAGGTGATGAGAGTTTCTTTGAAAATTCCTACCAGTACCTCTAATAATGGAGGCAAAATTTGGTTCCAGTGAAAACGTGGATGAAATGGAATCCTTGCCATAGCTGACATTATTAGTAACATTTATAACCAGTGTATGTTTTGATTTCTTACTCTTTTTTTTCAATCCTTTTTCCTTCAGTTACTTGTCTGTAAATATTTTTATTTTAACCTGTAAGTTGGTATTTACAGGTGCAGGTGATACAAAAAAAAAAAAAAAGAAAAAAAAAGAAAAAGCTGATACTTTGCTCGAGGTATAAATTATGTTTTTTCCTCTTTCTCAGATGGCAGTTTAAAAAGTTAGGATGATTTTTATCCATGTTTGCTGTGTTTATCAGATTTGGGAAGGATCTGCAGAAGGCAGCCAGAAGGCCTGGTCCTGGAAATGTCTGAGGCACAGGAAATTGTGTTGATTTTTCTCCAGGCAATTCAACACATCCGTGATTTTAAAGCACAGTGTGGTGGGGACAAGGACTGATGACAGAAAGTCCTGAAGAATTTCCGAAATTCAAACTTCTGGCAGTTTAATTTCACAGGAGTTTTGTTCTCAGTTCTGGGCACGAGAAACATCAATCGTTGAAAATTAAATTGTGTGGCTGATCACATTTACAATTAAACACTCAATGCTTGTCCTGGCTGGGGATTCTCCTGGGCTTTGGAACACGAAACCAAATAGAAGAGAAATGATGAAGTGAAAAATGGAAGATCTATACCAAAGGGTTACGAGGTTCTAGTTTCTGGTTTATTGCTGGAAGAAGTGCAAAATTACCATTTCCAGCCTAATTTTGTAAGGTAGGAGCTATTATTTTGCAAAGTGGTGGTGTCTTTGTAAGCAAATATTCTATTGCAGACAGGGAGATGGTCGGTATATTTTGTAGCTAAATTGTGATCTTTACAAAACCTGAAATTGAGTTTCTATACGTATTTTGACAGTTTATATATTTCATTTTAGTAACCAAATGAAATATTTTGTGAACCAGATTTTCAAGGATATATTTTTATGGATAGTACAAAGTCAAATGAGATCCTCTTTGGTGTAGGAGATATTTGAATTAATTTTGTATGTCTGTGGGCAACTTGCAAAAAACAAAAAATGGATCCTAAAGAGTATTGGGGGAAAAAAAAAAGAATAAAAAAAAATAAATCAGGGCTTTTTACTCCCCACAGTTGACAGTATCTGCACATTAGGTCTGATTGTGTCAGAGAGTTCAGTTTGTACAGTTTTAGTTTGTTTCGGGCGAAAATCAAAACGTTTGACACGATCAGGACTCCCTTTTGGGTGGGGAATCTCCGTCCTTGGAGATCCCCAGAGCCACCTGGGCAGGCTGTGACCCTGAGCAGGGGATGGGACGAGGGGACCCCCAGAATCCCGTGACAACCCCCCCTCTCCACAGCTGGGATCGAATCCCAGTCCTGCTCCCCGTTCTGTCAGCGGGAGCAGCGCTGGGGGCTGTGCTGTCCCAAGGTGTCAGAGAATCCAGGTGGAATTCCAAGCCGTGCTCCCTCCCTGGATGTGTGATGCTCATCCCACGGTCAGTCAGGAGTTTTCATTCTGCTCCTTTGGGAATTCATGGACTGGTAGCGAGCAGATTCCTCTTTGCCGTGAGGAACCTGCATTCCACAATCTCCTGGTTAGTGGGTCATAAAAGGGGGTGTTTTTCCTGGAGTTCCTAAATCTCTGGTGGTTCTGGACACAAGTCCCGAGGCGGCTCCTTTAGGCCAGGCTGGAGTGTGACTCCTGGTTGCCATCCTGCCAGGAAGGAGCTTTTTGGCACATCAGAAACAAGGCTGGGGAGGTCCTGGCCTGAGGGAGCCGCTCCTGGAGAGGTGTCAGTGCCTGCTGTTCCTCTGGTGGAAGTTCAGGAAAAACGAGCAGCGTGGAGTGTGAACCTCCAGGGATTTGGGCCTTTCCCCTCAGGTGTGTTGTGTTACCTGGAACGTGTCAGAGGGGGTTTGACCTACAGTTCTGAACTTACCTGGGAGCTCCGTGGTAGCTGATCCTCACTGTGTGTTCTCCTTTTCCTTTTGCAATGTGGAGTCATAATAAACAAAACCCATCAAGTGTTGAGACTGTAGAGCCGTGGTGGCCAGTTCTGTGTCCAACACCTGTCCTGCTGCCAGGCACACCAGGAGTCAAGTTTTATCCTCTTAAAATAGTGCGTTGGAAAAGAGCAGCTGATTTTTTTTTTTTTTTTTTTTGTCACGGGAATATTAAACAGTAACACGAGTTTCGCTCTTTAATCTCTGATTATGAAGTTCTTAATTTGGGTTTACTGTAAAATCTCGATTGTAAAGAGTAAAATCTCACTCCTGAGGGTAAGAGGTGGCAGCACCCAGTGCTGTTCTGCTGGTTGGTTCCAAACAGTCCGTGCTTTCCATGATGATTTGTAAATATTTGTTGAAACAATAAATGGTTGCAAATTTTGACCTTGGTAAATAAAGTCGCCAAAATATTATAATTCTGATGGTCCCTATTTATTTTTAAGCCGCACAGAACTGCAGTGGTGCTGTCTGGGTGGAAATACCTGTGTGGGATGGGGTCACAGGGTGGCCAGGAATAATTAATTGTCAGTTTTAGCGTGACAGGTGCTGTTTCATCTGCTAAAACTCGTGAGCTGCAGAACAACTTCAACCTTTCTACAGGGGGGGTTTTACCTCCTTGGATTTCGATAAGCTGAGCCACAGCAAAGGTTTGGTTGATTAGGTGGTTAATTAAAACCTTTGTGTGCTCTGCTGTGCTTACCCAGCAGAGGGAGCATCTGCCATCCACAAGCCCTGGTGGCATCACCGAGCATGTTTAACCTTCTGGTGGCTGGAAAGGCGCCGAAATAGGGCGGGAGGAAAGTGTTGCCAGCTGATAACACCCCTATATTCGATTTTCATCAGCAGGGCCGAGGCTGTTACCGTTTCCTGTGCAGTCAGTGTGGATCTCAGAGGCAGGAAACCAAAAAAAAAAAAAAATACAATTGCAAAGACAACTCTCTAAAAAGTCAGTGCACGTCCTTTGGCTCTTGGATTTATTGGGAGTCAGGAGGGAGCTGGTTCTCCCAAGCTTGCCCGGGCGGGGCTGAGCTCCGCGATGGTTTGCCCCTCTAGAAGGTCTGTGTGAGCAGCGTGTGTGCCACGGTCAGGAGGAGGGTGAGCGTGGTGCTCGTGGGTTTTGGAGTCCTGCTGGTCAGCTTAAGCTTTGATTTGATCCATGCCCTGTACTGGGACAGCCGGACGTAGATCCCGGGGTATTTGGGGCGGCCGCAGCCGACGCCGAAGCTGGCGATGCCGATCAGGTAGTACCTGTCGGGGTGGTAACACACCAAGGGGCCCCCGCTGTCGCCCTGCAGGTGAGCACAAAACCCCGCTAAGGTGGGAGTGCAGAATTCAGGCAGTGATAAATGCATTTTTTTTTTAACTTCAGGCGGCTCAAGTTAACTGACAAAGTTGATGGTAACGTGGGCAGTAACGTGGACAAGCCAAGGTAAATGTGGTGACGCTGGATCAGAGTCCTTGAGGTGGGAAAAGCTCTCCAGGGTCACTGAGCCCACCCTGTGCCTCATATCCCCACCTTGTCCCCCAGCCCAGAGCACCAAGGGCCACATCCAGTCCTTCCTGGGACACCTCCAGGGATGGGCACTCCAAACCTCCCTGGGCAGCCCCTTCCAGTGCCTGACCGCCCTTTCCAGGAAGAAATTCCTCCTGATTCTGCTCAAGACACTGCCCTGACCAGAACCCCAGGCCTGCACTGCTTCAGTGTCTTTAAAGTTCTGTTGTTTTCTCTCTGCACCTTTTCATGCCAAGCCTTGTCTCCCTGAACTTCCTCGCTCCTCAGGTGACTGGGGAATGTGGTGTCCACACAGTGTGGAAGCACCAAGACACATGGTAAGGAACACAGATCCTGATTCTTGGCCATGTCACCTGCTCAGGGAAAACTGCTGAGGGAAGCGGGAAGTGTATCAGACAAAGCACTCAGGAATACATTATGGGGTTTAATTATAAATGTCTCCATGTCCCAGCCGGTGCTGCAGCTTCTGCCAGCGCTTCAGACCCGAGAACGGGCTTTTCTGAGGAAGAGGTGGTGATGGCTCAGCACTGGAATGAAAGCCCTGCCACATCCCTGAGCCATGTCCAATGCCATATATAATTTATTGTCACCTGTGTGGCACAAACTCGTTGCATTCTTTAACCTTTCCCTTTGTGCAGCATTCACAGACTCTTTCCACAGTCCTGATGTCACCAAATACATCCCCGAGATAACTTTTGCATCGCGACCGCCGTCCCTCCCCTCTTTCCTGACGCTTCCCTTGCCTTTGGCCTGTTCTCCAGTGGGTATTTCTGCCCCTTGGGTGGCACCCTGGCAGCCCCCACCCCTCTCACCTGGCAGGTGTCGGTGCCCCCGGCCCAGGCGCCGGCACAGAGCACCCTGTCGTCCATGAGCCCCGCGTAGCCCTCAGAGCTGTTGCACAGGCTGGGAGGGAGGATTTCCACCCGGGCTTCCTTCAGCACAGGGGAGATTTTACCTGCAGTGGAGGCAGAATTCAGCAAGGTAAGGTATGCTGGGGGGTGTGGGGAGCAGTTCCTGCTGGGCTTCTTTCCCCCATCTCGCCAGCCGGGGCGTGTTCCTGGACGTGTCCAGACATGGATGTGACCTGGATCCTGCCTGCTCCCGGTGGGTTGGGACTGGAGTGGGTTAAGGGTTTGCACACTTGGGTTTGATGGACATTTTGCAATTTTTCCCCCAGAAGAGGCATCAGTGGTAACACACCTGCCTCGCTCCAAGTGTCAGGGGTGACTTAATCAATCCCAAAAATTCCCACGCACCAACTGGCATCGAGTTTGTGCCCAGTGGGATTAAAGAGAGAACTGGAAGGAGTGTGTGTAGTCATTCACAAATCCCTGAGGACCCCTCAGTTCACAACACGCAGCATCAGAACTGTTGCTTTTTGATAAAAAAGCTGTTTCCAGCAGACCACCTTGAGCTGCCCCACAAAACCTGAAAGTCAGGTGAGTTTATTTTCCTTTTTCTCACGTTACACTTGGAAGAAAGGCTGGGGAATGTATTTCCTGGTGGCTGCAGCTGTGTGGATCTAACCTGGCTGGGGTGGAAAACCATCCCATCTGGAAGCAAATTCTCACTGCAGGGAGTTTAATGAAGTTGTGTGAGGGGACCAGAACCGTAATCCAGTTGGAATGACGGATGGTTTGGGGTGGGCAGGGGCAGAGGGGAGCTGTGCTGGGGGCTGTGGGGCTGGGAAGGGGCAGGGGGGAGCTGTTCCTGGGGCTGTGGGGCTGGGCAGGGCTGTTACCCTTCTCAGCAGTGCGGCCCCAGCCGCTGACGTAGCAGTCTGTGCTGTTCTCCAGCTGGGGCTGCAGCGGCGCCGGGGGCAGGCAGATGGGCTGGATGTGCAGGCTGGACTGCACGGCCGAGCTCAGCTCGAACAGCGCCACGTCGTTCTCAAAGGTCTCGCTCTTGAACTCCGAGTGCACCAGGATCCTCCTGATCCTCCTCTTGGCCGTGTGGGGGCCGTGCCGGTGCAGGTTGTGCAGGCCCAGGACGGCTCTCCAGAAACACGGGTTCCTGCGGGGGAGCTCGCGTTTTAACGGGGGGTTTTTTAGGGAATGGGTTGGGTTGGGTTGGGTTGGGTTGGGTTGGGAGGGACCTTAAAGCCCATCCCATTTTCCCCACCCCGACATGGACAGGGACACCTTCCACTAGACCAGGTTGCTCCAACCTGGCCTGGGACACTCCCAGGGATGGGGCATCCTCTGGGAAATGCACTCCAGGACCTCCCCACCCTCGCAGGGTATTCCCAGTATCCCCCTCTTTGGCTCATGCACCTTTAGGAATATATATTGAAAATTCCCTAGCCAGTATTTTCTGGAACAAATCTGCCTCGTTCCCACTGTGTCCCTGGGAACACTTGCTTTGCCTAATGCTGGTTATGGCTGTTAAGGAAAAATTCAGGTTAATGATTTACGCTAAAACTTGGATTTTCCCTCCCACCCCATCTCAGCAGAGGCCACCAGGAGATATTCTTCTGAAAAGGCTAAAAACATGGATTTATTTTGCAGAAAGGAAGGAGGCTCACCCCCACAATGCTTGGAAACACTCTGCTTGTACCTAGATTAGGGAAATCCATTAACTAGAAGTAACAATAAATGAATATAAAATTTAGAAAGAGGGTTGGAGTCATTCAGACCTAATTTCTTGTCAACTGTGTTGAAAAATAATCTTTACTGGTGTTAAGTGGGATTTGAATTTGGCCTGGGATGAGCTATATAATTAAGATTAACCTCCAAAGTTAAGGTAAAAATTAAATTGGTAATTTAAAGAGGCATTGTATTGCAAATAAATGATTGTTAAATTCATTTAAAGAAGCAGAAAGCTGATGCAACAATATGAAGGATGAAATTCCAAAGTTCAGGGATTTTACAGTTCACTTTCCCTCAGGGTCATGGTTGTGTCAACACAGCCGATGGCAACTGGTCCAGATTGTGCAAGTTTGGCAAGGGCCACAGTTGAAAGTCTGTTCTGAGCAGTTGTGAAAAAAAAAAAAACAACAAAACACCAAAAGAACAAAAGCCAAGGCTCATGTCCAGCTGCTTGTCACCAACACCCCCAGGGCCTTTCCTGATGGGCCACTTCCATCTGCAGAGACAAGCAGGACTCTGGCAAGTCCTCCAGCGACTGGAACTGGAGGGATTGTGGCCCAAACATGGGAGATTGTGGCCTGAACATGGGATATTGTGGCCCAAACATGGGAGATGGTGACCCAAACGCGGGAGATGGTGACCCCAGTTGCCCCCAGCCCAGCTGGGCCCCCCTGTCGTGGCTCAGCCCTCTCCGTACCTCCTGCCCTCGACGCAGTGCCCGGCGGTCAGCACGGCCCTGCGGCTCAGCAGGACCCCCCCGCAGAGGTGGATGAAGCGGACGCCCCCTCGCAGGACCTGCAGGCTCACGACCCACGGCCACGCGCCCTCCGGGGCCTCGTGGCCCCCCACGATCCAGGACGTGGCTCTCCGGGCCTGGGGCGGCTGCTGCTGGCACTCTGCAAAACACAACAGGGGGCAGGGGGGGGGGGTAGGGGGAAAAACGGAGCTTTTTTTTGTGTGTGGGGGGGGTCTGGGTATTATTGGTTGGGTTTTTTGTTGCTTTGGGGTTTTGGGTTGGTTGGGTTTTTTGGGGGGGGATTTTTTAAGGTGTTTTGTTGTTGTTTTGTTGGATGTTTGGCTTGGTTTGGGTTTGGTTTGGTTTGGTTTGGTTTGGTTTGGTTTGTTTGTTTTTTTAATCTCCAGCGTTTCCACAGCACAGGAAGGAAGTGGAGCTGTTCGAGCAAGTCCAGAGATGCTCCAGGATGATCAGAGGGATGGAGCAGCTCTGCCATGAGGAAAGGCTGGACAATTGGGATTGTTCAGCCCGGAGAAGGGAAGGCTTTGGGGTCACCTTATTGTGACTTTCCAGGACCTGAAGAGAACCTGCAGGAAAAGATGGAGAGGGACCATCTCCAAGGGCCTGGAGTGCCAGGACAAGGGGGAAGGGCTTCAAACTGCCAGCAGATTTTAGATGGGATTTTGGGAAGAAATTCCTCCCTGTGAGGGTGGGAAGGGCCCTGGAATGCATTTCCCAGAGGATGCCCCATCCCTGAAAGTGTCCAAGGCCAGGTTGGAGCAACCTGGGCTCGTAGAAGGTGCCTCTGCCCATGGCAGGGGGTGGAACTGGATGGTCTTTAAGGTCCCTTCCAACCCAAACCATCCTGGGATTCCAGGACTTCTTAGCTGGTATAAAATACGCGTCTCTATCTTCCTGAGGTGTATCCCTTGCACACGAAATTGGCATTACTCATCTCGAGGCGCTGCTGTGCTGCTTCGCGAACCCCTCAAATACAGGCGTAGCCGAAAAAGTTTCTCCGCGTGTCCGTGGGGACACCCCCTGCCCACCACACACACACACACACACACCCACCCCACCTCCCCTCAACCCCCGGCCCCCTCACGCCCTTCCCCGGCCCCGGTTGGGTCCCGGTACCCTCGTCGGGGTCCTTCGTGGCCGCCCCCCCGGGCCGGGGCCCCTCGAGCAGCAGCAGCAGCAGGAGGAGCAGCAGCAGCGGCACCGCGGGCCGGCCCCGCCGCATCTCCGTCCAGGGGCGAAGATGGCGGCGGCGCCTGAGGGGAACCCCCCCCCCCCTCACCCACCACCACCCTGCCCCGGGGGGAACGGCCGGTGCCGGTGTCCGAACGGGGCCGTTGGGGCGGCGGGGACGGCGCGGGGAGAGCGGCCGGAGGGGAGTTCTGCCCTCAGGGACCGACCCTGCCGTCCTCCCTCAGGGACCGGCCCTGCCCGCCCTCCCTCAGGGACCGACCCTGCCCGCCCTCCCTCAGGGACCGACCCTGCCGTCCTCCCTCAGGGACAGGCCCTGCCCGCCCTCCCTCAGGGAGCCTCTCCCAGCAGGTGCCGTTCAGGGGGGGCTCACCCTCACCTGGGCAAAGTTTTAGGGGGTCTCGTTCTCACCAGGGCAAAGAGCTGGGGAGGGGTGTGTCTCACCCTCCCCTGAGCGAAGGGTCAGGGTTTGGGGGTCGGGGTTTACAGGGGTTCCATCGGGAGGAACAGGGACGGCCGTGAGGGAGCGTGAGGAGGGGACGGGGGGGGGTCTGATGGAGCCCCGGCCGCATCCCAGGTGGGGAACACCCAAGGGAATCCCACCCCACAGTTAACCAGGCACGGACAGCAGTTCCCTTCCATTAATACATTTATTTTCCTGTCTGCTGGGCTGGTTTATGTTCTCCTGGGATCTTCCGTGGCAGGGTCAGCAGTGCCAGGGCTTCACGAGGGAAACGGCCTCCAGTTCCACCAGGGGAGGTTTGATTAGAGATTAGGAAAAATTTCTTCATGGAAAAGGCTGTCAGGCACCGGAACAGGCTGCCCAGGGCAGTGGTGGAGCCACCATCCCTGGAAACGTTAAAAAAATATGTGGCACTTGGGGACACGGGTTAGTGGTGACCACGGTGCTGGTGCTGGGTTAACTGTTGGACTCTGATCCAAAAGGGGAGTTCAACCCGACCAATTCTGTGATTCAGGGACGTTCAGAAAACAGACCCTCTCTTCTCACTTAATTCAGTTCCTGATTTAAGTCCTTCCCCGTGTCACCGAGACAGGGACGTGCTGAGGAGCCTGTGCCGTGCTGGGTGTGCTGGTCACGACGAGGAATTTCGGGGGGGACAGGGAGCAGCCGGGCAGGGCAGGGGTTACTTCACCCCGTACCCCACGATGTGCGGCTCGATGGGCGTCCAGGGCAGCGCAAGACTTATGTGTTGTACCTTCAGCTCCGAGAACTTGGCCTCTTCCAGATTCTTCCAGAGCTCTCTCGTGAGGCAGCATCCAGCAAAGACGAGTTTCCAAGTCGGGAAGCAGACCTGCTGCCAAAAATACTTCCAGCTGGAATGCTCGGCGGCCACGTGCTCCAAGAAATAGAAGGCTCCTCCCTGGGAACACAGAGTCTCTTACAGTGAGTGTGGGGGTCATGCTAAGCAGCTCCCACCGTCCTGTCCCTTCCCTTTTCCATTTCCCTCTTCTCCTCCCTGTATCAGTTGGAATTATTAAAAGCAGAACACATGCAGAGATTCAAAGAGCACAAAGAATCGACTTATTTGATCCCTCTTTTGTTCCAGCAATAGCTTGTTAACAGCTTTGTTTCAGTTAGTTGCTAACAGGACTTTTTTTTCCAAAGGAAACCAAGAGAAATGTGTAAATGCTGCTCCAACCCATCGGTTTTTGACAACCCGCAGGATTGTCTTTCAAACTGACAAAGAGCACATTTTAGATGGGATATTGGGAAGAAATTCCTCCCTGTGAGGGTGGGTTTAATCTGCAGCCCATGAGCATCTCCAGGGGAGAAGGTGTTTAATTAGACTGGCCTGCTCATACAGGTGGAGCAGCCCCACTTCCCAGAGGCCGAAGCAGTTCATTTAAAATCCAGACTTTCAGCCTCGATCAGAACTTCCCACCCAGGGAAAGTCAGGTGAGTGGGAAGGGACAGCACCACATTCTGCTTTAAACGATGGGCTGTGAAGTCATTTTAGTTAGCAGAGCGTTGCTCTTAGGCTTTTACTTCTAAGACTAAACCGGTCTGACCAGTCCCGCGTGCCGAATGGTTGCAGGAACCAACCCGGCTCTGGTTTTTAAGATCAAAACCAATTTTTTATACTTTTTCCCCCCCCCTTTCCTCGTGGCAAGGTGCCTCTGGAGCAGATGACAAAGGTAACTAAGAGGCCCAGTGCGGGTACTCACCGGCCGGAGCACCCGCAGCACTTCCCTCAGGGTGCTGCTCACGCTCTGGACCGAGCACAGCACCAGGGTGCAGACCACGACGTCCACGGAGCCGCTGGGCACCTGGTGCAGGTCCTCTCCTGCGGCCACCAGGAACCGCTCGTAGTGGAGGTGCTGGTTCTTCTTCATGTTCTTGGTGAGGCTCTCCTGGAAGTTGGGGTTGATGTCGCTGCAGGTGACTCTGCAGCCCGACGGGTAGAACTGGAAGTTGCCGCCGGCGCCGGTGCCGATCTCCAGCAGCCTCAGCTCCCCCGAGGGGCTCCGGAAGTCGGAGAGGTTTCGGAACAGCTCCAGCTTGTGCTTCTTGGACTTCTTGTCGTGAACGGTGCTGATCTTGTCCAAGATGAAAGGAAAAAACACCTTCCTGCAGAAGGGCTCCCACAGGCCCAGGAAGGACAGCAGGTAGACGGGGAAGGCGAGCAGCGCCAGGCAGGTGCGGAGGAGGAGGACGCTGGCCCCGGCCTCTGCCATCCCCAGCGCGGGCAGAGGATCTGCACGGGGCACAACAACTCCTCCTGTGTGTCAGAGCCCTGGGAGCTCGGGCAGAGCTGCCTTCTGCTCTCCCTGTGCTCTCCAAGCGCGTTCAGCTCCTTTTGGACGGTCCTGCTGGACTCTTTTCTCCAACTGATTTCCAAGTCCGGTCACAGGCGAGGACGGAGCAGCGGCCGAGCGGTGACCAGAGTGTCCCAACTGGCAGGGGAGGAGCTGCCAGTTCGTTCCCAAAGCGGGACAAACTGGGCAGCGCAACTGTGCGTGTAACCCCTGGCCAAGCGTCTCCGAGTGCCCTCTCTTGGCACTCGGCAGTTCCAGCACGGTCGCGTCTCTTAAAGCCGCCTGTGCTGCCCTGGGGGAGCTGCAGGGAGCTCAGCCCGGCTCTGGAGCTCTCTAGGAGTCTCATTAGGGGTTTGGTTAAAGTCTCAGTTCAAGCACACTTGTCTGGGAGTTGATTTTCCTCCCGGTGTGAGCAGCTGGGTGAGCTCAGCAGCTCCATCCTCTCTCCGAACTGAGCTGAATCTCTGCTGAGAAGAGTTTTCAGTTGGAGGACACCTTAAATCCTCTGGTATGTTGGAGCTGGCTCCGGGAGCTGCTGCCGTGGGTGATCTCCCAGACCTTCGATGGGAGTGGTAGGCACAGATAACGCAGTGTATTAATTCGGTAGTTGCTTTGTGCAGCGTGTGGAGTTTGGGGTTTATTGACCTAAAGTCGAGTCGACACCGGCCCACTCCAGAAAACTTTGTCAATTTTGGGGGTTGCCAGAGCTTTCCAAA